GGATGAGTGTTTGGGGAGGCAGTAGAGAGAAGTGATTCATATTTTTAATTTACTGTACAAATAGACTAGCAGGGCTGGGGGGAAAAGGGCCATCCAAGTGGAGTGGGGATTTTTTTTTTTTTTCCCACTGTTGTTTTGCTGTGCTTTAAGCACACAATGACTATTAAAGTCAACTGCCCATATAATAGGACATCTCCTACATGACTGCTCTCCAAGAGGCAGCTTGCTGTAGCAATAAATTCTGGGAGTGCCATCTGCCGGTGCGCAACCTCCACCGGGCACCCTCGATTCGGCCACCCTGACGCCAGGCACCCACACCCAGACCAGCCCTGGCACCCTGCACCCACTGCAGAGACCTGCTCCTGTAGGCATCAGCCACGGACCTGCTGGCATTCATACAGAATTAGTATTCTTTCTACAGAGTAACAAACACTTCCCCCCCCAAATATACCCTTAAATTGTTCATCATATTTTTCTTTTTTTTTAAGAGATTGAGGGAGTCTGGTTGATGCCGAGGAAATATTTTAGGCTTTTAAAAGAAACAAATCACTGCTCTCCACCCCTCCGAAGTGCTGGGTTTCAGCTGAGTTCCCGTTACCCAGAACACAGTAAGAAAATCACCCAGTTTAGTTTTTTTTTCTTTCCCTGCAATAAGGCACTTGACCAGAGTCCATGTGAACTGCAGGCTCGGCTGGAGCTGGCTCTGCACTTTAAGAAGATGAGAGCTGCGGGCTCAGCCCAGGGAGATCCTGCTGCGGGATGACTTTCAGCTGGGAGTGAGCCAGGTTTACCATAGTGCAAAGATGTGCGTGGGACTGTGAAGCCTGGAAGGGGTACACCTGGCCGTTACTAGCATGAGCAGTGCCCATGGGTCCAGGGCTGGCTGGGCCAGTGGTGGAGACGGGCTTGTCCCAGCTCCTTGCTCCATCATTTGCTGTGTCCTACTCCTTTGCCTCTCCCCTTCTATGCTCACCTCCTGAACCACCCGCACGGTGCCTGGGGGCAGCTCCAGCCCATCGCCTGAGGATTTGCCAATCCCAGATTTCAGCCAGGGCCTCTTTAATCCCTGTATTGGGGCACTGAGGACAGCAGAGGGGCTGGTGCAGGACAAACCCTCTATCCAACAGGAAGAAGTCCCCCTGCCTTTGCCCCCTCCATGCTTTTACTGAGGCATGTTTGCACACAAAACTGTGACTGGGTGGGACTGGGAGATGGAGGGGGTCCCATCCTGCAGTCTCAGCCCCCCGCCATGAGCTCTGATGTCAAGTTTTGGTGGGGGCTCGGCTGCTCGTCAGCCTAGGCTGCTCCCCATGACTTGCTGTGCCAGATGCACCATGTCCTTGCTGCTGGGCAGCCCCACAGCCAGGTCCTCCCACTCCTGAGGAGAAACTGGAGAGGGCCAATGATGGAGCCCCACGCCATGCTGGCTCCTCTGCCAGCTTTGCCCTACTTTGAACAGCCCCGAGCAGCTGGGGCCTGCGGCTGGGGGTAAATCACCCCCCAAACACTCAAACGCATCCCGGGCCCAGGCTGCAGACACAGGGAAGCTGGAAGCACGGATGAGGAAAGTGTGCACGAACCCACCTGGGCTGAAGGGAACAACGGTGCCAGCCTGACCCCGGAGGGGTTGTGCCAGGGGCTCAGCCCTCCACCGTGGCACTGTGAGTTGCTTTGGGGTCCTCAGGGCTGGGGGGTGACACTGTGGTGCAGTTTCGGGTATCATCGAATGGCAAGCTACCTTATGGGACTGCTTGGCTCCAGAGCCTCTCCTCCATTGGTAAGACGAGACAGGAACCAATCCTGCACCCACCTCCATGCAGCAGCAGGGTGCCGCTGTACCTCCCCTTTCTCCACACAGAAGGAGGCAGGAGCAGGTTGTTCGCCCTGCTCAGAGCATGTGGGAACCGCACCCCACTCAAAACTGGTCCCTGATCGAGCCTCTGCAGTCAGGTGAGATTTTGGGGGAGCAAAGGCACCTCCATTGAGGGGACAGGGACAGTTCACTGTTAGGACACCTGGTGAAACCAGTGCAAGAAGGTTTCAGCCCCAGAGGCTTAGTGGGTCCGCCCATCATTAACAGGATCCATCCCCCAGGAGCCCATCCCTGCTGGAGCCATAGGGACCATGAGCACTAGCAGGCTGTGAATGCTCCTTGGCTTGTCCAGCCATGGCCTGGGCTGCCTCACCAGCCACCAGTGCTGGCACAGGGACACCAGGGTGTGTCCGGCAGGATTTCATCAGCTTCCCAGTCAAGATGTGACCACTTATCTTGAGCCAAGCACCATAAAGAAGAGTTTCCCTGTAGGACCTGGAGATATCCAGTGATGGGCCATGATCACCTCCTTGAGGAGCCCATTTCAAAGTATCTAGAGAGTTCAAACTGGGGCCTTCTTTCCCATTCCAGTTTGGCTGGCGCAAGCTCAAGCCCCCCACCTGTATACCTCAATGCTTAGACTCATCCACCCTTTAGCACTGGATACATCATGAGAAGGCATTTGGAGAAAGTCACTGTCATTCTCATTTCTGCAAACCTTAAGAGGATCAGGAGCATTTCCAGGCATCAAAGTAATTTCTCGGACTCTTCTTTGCATCTTCTCCAGTCTTGCAAGGTCTGTTTGGACACTGCTAGAGGATACAGCCTTACCCTCACCAAGCAGAACCAGTGCATTTGGAGGCCTCAATCCAGAGAGATGCTTTGGACATGGGGAAGAAGCTTTGGACATGGGGAAGAAGCTTTGGACATAGGGAAGCAGCTCGGAGTTCACCCAGCCATATCCTCCACAAGAAGCCTGCAGTGGAATGGCTGGGAATGCCTCCCTGGGCAGGGCAAGCAGAGGGGAAGCCCAAATCCTGCTTTTGCAAGAGTACCAGATCAGTGGCAGGGGGCAGCTTGGACTGACAGTCCCAGAGATCCTGCCCCAATATCCTAAAGAAGAAGCTGATGAGAAGCTAGTGTCCCCTGAGCATGGGGTTTCCTTGCTCCCACCCTTCCAGGTTCCGATGGAAGGAGGCTGACATGTCCCTTGGCACAGTACCCTCAGAAGGGTCCCCAGGAGCAAATGCGCCCAAAAGACACCATAGGATTTTGCCAGTGACCTCCAGTCCTTGGAAAGAGGGGACTTCTGTCTCTGGTGATGTCTGAAGTCCTGGCAGAAATAGGTCCTGACCCCATGTTTCCCAGCTCTGCTCCATCTCACCAGCCAGCACAGAGCAGTCCTTGGCCATAAGGCAACACCCCGGCTCCTTGGCCTCACCAGGACCCCAGGATGGGGGGCTGCTCCCAGGGGGGCTATTTCCTTCCACATGAAGGGCAGGGGGCATCTTCCAAGCTGCCCTGCATGCTGGGTGGAGATAAATAAATACCAGAATAAATAAATACAAGTGGCAAAGAGGCCTGAAATGATGCTGTCGTTTGCTGGGAATGAGAGACACAAGTGTAATTTAGGTTTTGATATTATGAAAGTCTCGCTGCTCTAAAACAGCAGGGCACTCAGTGCCTCATTAATAAAGGATAAACTTGGAGTCTATTTACAATGCACTTTTTGGGGTTATTTACACTCCATTATACATATGTAATGCTGCACATATTTACCGCTCTGTTCTGCTGCCGAGAGCAGCCGAGTCGGGAGGCAGACGGAGTGGGAAGCGGCTGATGCTGTGGAGCTGTGACCCCTGCTTTGACTGATGTCCTTTAAAAGGCTCAAGATGCAGGAGAGCCCCAAGCCGGCTGCTGAGGATGGAGGGGCTGGGACCAGGCACTGGGGACCCAGTATGGCCCAGTCCTTGTCTCCAAGGGCCCAGCACCCACCCACCCCTGGAAGTACCCCAAGGCTTTGCCAAGTGATGCAGAAAGGGTGAGCTCCTCACCAACTGACCATGAGCACCAAACACGCAAGCTGTGGGCCTGTCACAGAGTGGGCAATGGGAAAAAAAGAGGGCTGCATTATTTGCAATAAAATAAATCATGCTTGCATTGACACTAGAGGGTTTTGGTTACGCAGCCCTCCCCACTGCCTGGCTTTTACCTCTTACCAGAGCAAAATATTGTAGTTTCCCTGCAAACCATAGCGCCCCGAGCATTTGCCGGCCAGGGAGACCCCAACCCCATGGTGTTTGTGGGAGCTGCTGTGAGGGTCCCGGGTCATGCAAGCGCCATGCCTGTGGCAGTCCCAGGAAACAAGGGAGCCCCCAACACAGCCCCCGGGATTCAGGGCAGAGATGTGGGAGAGGTCATGTTTGGAGAGCACCTCGGGGTCACAGCAATTCATGGGGTGCTGCAAAGGGATGTGGATGCAGCCAGGACCCCTTTGTCCTCAGCAGAGTTTGGGAGGCTGCAAGGGTCCCACGGGAGCACTCTCTGCAGGGCCAGGCAGCGAGGGGCTTCCAGCAGGTTGTGGAGACATGGTGGCTGGATAGTCTCCCCCAGCTCTGAGCTGCCCCATGTCCCTTCTGCAACAGCATCTGGGTTTGCATGACCAACCTGGGGTGAGACGCAAGAGCCCAGGAGCCACCCTGACCACCCTTCCTAGGAAACATGGGGCAACTTTGATCTTTCCAGCCAGGCACAGTGGGGAGGAGGACAAGTCCCCCATCGCATGTTGCTCCTCCCCTCCCCAGGGGAGCATGCACCAGTGCCAGCACACTCCAGCTTGCTGCCATCCCAGGCTGTGCTTGCCAAATGATGGCTCTGGAGGCAATGCTCTTTATTAAACACCTCATGTGGGCAGCTCTTGGCAAGTCCACATACCCAGGAACAATGTGAACCCACTTCCTCCAGGAGGTCCCTCATCTCTGGGAGGGCATCTCCTGCAGCATGGGGGCAATGCGCAGTGGTTGGTGCAACCCTGGTGCAACATCAGGGCTCATCCTGGGCACAGGCTGTGGCATAGTGAGATGTCCTGGGACACCCAGAGCTGATCCAGTCCAAGCAAATTGACCCCACTTCCCTCCCCAGGCCCGAGCCTCCTCCACCACCCCTGTCCCCCCCAAGCCCACCCAGATCAGGGCAGGCTGGAGCCCGAACCCTCCAGGGAGCTGCTCTCCAAGGCCCCGTAGCCATTGAGCTTTGTCATCCCTATGATGTGTGCCGGGATGGAGAGGAAGGAGCGGCGGGTGGCAAAGATGTGGCTGATCTCCATGAAGGTTTTGTTCTTGGTCTCGGGGACGACAAGGTAGACGTACAGGGCCACCAGGAGGCAGATGCCGCAGAAAACCAGGTAGCAAAAGGCACCGGCTGACATCTGGGGACAACGAGAGAGCAGGGACGGAGAAGAAAGCCAAGCACCCCCAAGCTGGGCACGGCATGAGGCAGCGTCCCCTCCTGTCACCCCTCCCTGGGCTGTCTCCAGCCAGCACTGGGCTGAGCCAGGAGTATGGGCTTGACACCCCACCCTGGGGGAGCAGCAGGGCCACGTCCATCCCCTCCTCCTCCCACAGCCCCTCCAGACTGGTACCTGCAAGAAGGGGAAGATGAAGCCAACGGTGAAGTTGCAGAGCCAGTTGAGGGACCCCCCCACGATGTAGGCAGCCGGGCGGTGTGACTGCGTGAAGAGCTCAGCTGTCATCAGGAAGGGGACGCCGGCTGCGGAGGGAGGGGACAGAGCGAGGGTACGGAGGACAGGCTGCCTCAGGCATCCCTGGGGTCAACAGGTCCTGCCCATCTCAGTCCTGTGGCCAAAGGGCTGGAGCCCAGCAAGACCCACAAGTCAAAGTTGTGGGGCTGAGGGGGCTGGAGGAGATGGGGAGCACAGGGACATGTGGACCAGTATCCTGCCCTTGGGATCTGTCTCGGTGGGTGGGTGATGTACCCCTTGACATACCACAGTTGCACCTTGCTGGGTGCTGAGACCAATTTCACAAGTTACTTGATTGGAAAGTTTCAGACCAAGTCAAAATCAAGGTGGAACATTCATCTGGATCCTCATTTTGCAATAATTTGCCTAAATGCTGATAAATTAAATCTCATATAGATCACAGGTGTAGAGAAATGTGTTCCTGGTGCTCTCCATAATGTCCTTTCCAGCCTCCCTTAATCAAAATGGTTTAGAAAATTTCCTTCTATCAATTAGGTTCCATTGACGCTGTGGCTGATTTAGGCAGGAAAGAAGAAACCAAATTTCCAAGCATCAGTATTTCCCGCAGGACACAGAAATGCCATTTTCCAACTGGCTTTTCCCATGTATGGTGAAAAAAAACAGAATGACTGGAAATGATTGCCCAAGCCAACTTGGCCACTAAAAACTGGACGCAGGTTGTGGCTACTTCTCCTGGAAGGACTCAGCCTCTCCTGCCACATGTCAGTGACCTGGCAGTCCTGAGTCCCAGGACTGTCCCTTTGCTGCAGGGCAGGATCCAAGGTCCAGCGCACATTTCAGGGCACATGGGGATCTGCCAGGGGACTGTATTTGATGTGGTGACATTACCAGGGTCCCACTGCCTGGGACAGGGCTGACTGGGACCTCTTTATAAAAGATGCTCCAAGGGAAAAACAAAACCAAAAAAAGTGCTGAGAAGTGACGGCGGAGTGGAGCCCCTTATGGACTCTTACTTACAGCTTGCCCAGAATAGAGATATATATTTTTTTGTTTTAAAACTCCTATTCATCATTGTTTGTGAACAATGAGCCATTAAAATCCTAATTAAAGATGTAATTACAGTGAATAAAGTCTGGGCTGAGGATGAATTATAGATCTGTTAACAGCTCTGCTAATACATCAACTGGATAAACCAGTCCAGGTTTCACTCCCTGCTGTTCAAGCCCGCTGTCATGCCCGTGCTCAGTTAGGGGCAGGACGGTACTCGCCAGCCGCACTGTGATGGGAGCAGGTGACACCTCCAGAGAGGTCTGGGAAAGGCTGCCAGGGCTTTCTCCCTGCTTGGCCCAGGAGCAGGGATGAGGAGGAAGAGGTTGAGCATGCCCTGGGAATGTATGGGGCTGGAAGGTCTTGTGGTGGGCTCTCGCTTGCGGGGTGCAGCATGATAAACCAGGGCCTGGCATCTGGGAAGGGGCCAAGGCGCCGGTCCTGCCACCTAACTGCAAACCCCGCTGCTCCCTGCTCCCCCGGAGCCCTCATTCCTGCCCCACCACCCCCTGCTCCCCCTGCCCCAGACCCACCTGGTCCCATGCAGAAGCCAGCGATGATGCCGACCACACAGGTGACGCTGACGTAGTGCATCCAGGGCAGGGTGGTCTGCGAGGGGACACGGGGCTGGGGGATGCTGCTGGGGTGGTGGCCCTGAGCTTTGCACCCAGCGTTCCCAGGACAGGGCTTCATGCTTGCCCCTCAGCTCAGTAGTGGCCCTTGGGGATGGTGGCCATGCAGGACACATGGGGGAGATGCAGACAAGCAATGGGTGGTTTGGGGCAAAGCTGGTAAGGGTCAGCCTTGGCGAAGCTCGACAACTCGTGATGCTGACACATCCTCAGAGCTGCGGGAGCATCTCCCGGGAGCAGGCAGCAGAGGAAGGACCCTGCAGACCTCTCCACGTCCCCTGGCATTTCACAGCCACCTCCCTGGGGACAGCTATTTCTGCAGAAAAGCTACCAGAAGCAGCAGGATTTTTCTTATGTGGATTTATGTTTTCCTTTTTGTTGTTCTTTCCTCTGAATTTTCCTTCCCTATAACTTTGAAGGGAAAACATTGCTTGGAAGAGCCGGCTCACCTCTCGTTTCCATGCAGGCTCCCTCCCCTAGGGTGATATCCATCCCTTCATCACCCAACCCTCATTAATGCACCCAGGGGTCCAGCCCCGGTCGTGTCAGTGGTCCAGGGGGGTGGTGGTATCCAGACCTTACCTGCAGCAGCAGGGAGACGGTGATACCAGCCGAGCAGATGCCCATGGCGCAGAAGCCAGTGATGATGAGGGGCCGCCTGCCCAACTTCTCAATGGTGAAGCACTGCCGAGGGAGAGCAGAGACGGACGGGGTGAGGAGGGAGCTCCGAACCAGGACAGGGGCACCCTCTGAACCCCAGATCCAGATGGAAGTAGGAGGATGCTCCCAGTGGCACCTGGGGGTTGGGGGCAGCCTCAGCTCAGAGCTCCAGGGTTGGGGCCAGGGCATGAGAAGAGCGAGGACTCCAGGGTCCCGGGGTGAGTGTGCACTGGGTGGCAGCGGAGTCCCTCAGAGCCCCATTAGGGTGCAGGGTTGGGGCTGGCTGGGGTGGCCCCACAGCTGCATTCGGACCAGCACCGAGTGGAGGTGCTGGGTTGGCGTGGCGGTGGCTGGAGCAGGCAGGGTATTGACAGCAGAACAAATGCCTGTAATTTTATAACCAATCTCAGCATGTCCATCGGGGGCCATTTGCGGGGCTGCTCCTGAGCAATCTGGCTGCATGCCGGGTGGCTGCCGGGGGGCTGAGGCAGCCCCATGGCCAGGGCAGGGGAGAAGGGGACACCCTTTGGAGGGGCAGGGGGCTGACCGGGGGGCCCCACTCTGCCATTGGTTGAGCTATGGGGAGAGGGGAGCAGCCCCCCACTCAGCCTCCGTTTTCTGGGAGCAACCACCCCCCATCCATCTCTCTAATTGTCAGGGAGTGGATTTAGTGCTGGGTGACTCAGGCTGGCCCCAGGTGACACTCGCAGATGGGACGAGGGCCATAAATCTGCCTGGCCCAGTGCTAACTCTCCAGCTAAATGAGGCCTGGTTGGGGGGGCCGGGGCTGCTAGCCCGGGGCCAGGCCAGTGCTTGGCTAGGGGGGGCAGATGGAGACATGTGGCTATGCTAACAGAGTGACAATGAAATCGGAAGCCAGAAGGAACTGCTTAGCTCCCTCCATCATCACCAACCTGCCCCTTGCCTGGTGTCTCCCCCCAACCTCCCTGCTACCCACTTACCCCCAAATTCTCCTACCCCTCCTAGATGTGACCCCACAAACCGAGCTCCTCTTATCCCATCTCCCGACCCCACTTCCCTGCCAAGCCCTCTGTCCCCCAGAAAAGGGGCTGTTCTGTGGCACAGACAGCATTTGGGGTCCATCCAGCCCCCCCATTTGATGGTGCTGGGAGCTAGCAACAAGGTTCTGGCACTGAGGGGCTGCATCCATCTGTTTGTCCATCACTCACCCCGATCAGCCCAGCAACAACTTCAATGGTGCCGGTGCCCACGGTGGTGTAGGGGATCTGGGATACAGGGATCCCGGCGTTCTCGAAGATGGCGTTGGTGTAAAACCAGATCTGCCGAGGAGGGGACTTAGCATGAGGTGGGGGGACGGAGCCATGGGGCACTTGAGGAAATGAGTTGCCAGGTCTCAGCTCAGCTTCTGCAGAGCCAGGTCCTGGGGAGAGGACCCTGCAGGGCTTACGGCATCGATGCCCGAGAGCTGCATGCCAGCATTCACCACCACCACCGAGAGGGTTTGCCAGCGGAGAGAGCGGTCCCGCAGTAGCTGCCAGACAGAGACCATTTCCACAGAGGAGAGCGACCGCTGCTCCTCCTTCATCTCCTCGATCACATCCTGCACGTCAGGTGTCCCCAGGAACCGGCACAGCGCTGTCGGAAGAGTGAGGGTCATGGGCACACGTCTCCCCATCACAGGATGGATGCTCGTATGTATGGCATAGAGCAGGGGCTTGGCTCTGCCCTGGCCTCCCTGCTCTGGACCTACCTGACCCATGGGGCTGAGCATCCATAGGAACCGAGGAGATGCCTCACACCATGGTGATGGGCACCATGGAAATGCTATGGTGCAACTGGGTGGGACAGAAGGGCTGAACCATAAGGACTACAGTGGGCTGTCAGGTCTGGGTGTGGAAGGATGCTATGAGGATGCACCTTGGTCTCAGGAGACCTTGGACTAGTGCCCAGCACCTCCCGGAGCCAGTCTCCCCCAGGACACCCCCTCACCCTTGGTGGCCCCGCAGACGTCGTTCCTCTCTATCAGCAGGTACCGCGGGCTCTCAGGGAAGCAGTGCAGCAGCAGGAGCTGGAGGGAGGCGGGAATGACCACCACGGACAGGAAAAGGGGCCAGAACCTGTCCTGAGAGGAGTCAAAATGGGACGTGTCACAGGGAGGGCAGAGCAGGGTCCAACGTGCATGGGCTGGGGTATTGTGCTCACCTCGCCCAGCAGCTCTGGGAGGCCCAGGACCTGCGCAAAGAAAACCCCCAGGCAGATGAAGAGGGTGGGCATGAGGCCCAGGAAGCCCCGCAGGTTCTTGGGGGCGATTTCTCCCAGGTAGAGGGGCACCACGCTGAGACAGATACCTGGGGGCGACAGGAGGGACCGGGATGGGAGGGGAGGCAGGGAGAAGGGTGCCCAGCCAGACCCTCGGTGCATCTCCTCCCATGCCCAGCACCATCCACAATGGGGACCCCATGGCCCTGTCTGCCCCATGGAGACCCCCACCACAGAGCCTGTGGCTGCGGGAAGTATGAAGTCTTCTCCATCCCCCTGGAAATGGGCTGCAGGGGACCAAGCTGTGAGGAAGGGGCAGTGCACAGCCCCGCAGCCCAGGGACCACCTACCTGAGTGGAGCCCCGTGATGGAGCGGCCGATGATCACCATCTCAGGGGACCCCAGCTCCTGACTGAAGCCCATGAAGCCACCGGCCAGGAGGACGAGGAGAGCACTGCGGCTCAGCGCGCCATTCCTAGCAGGGCACAAGCAGCAGGGCAGCCCCTCCAGCCCCCTCCCATCCCTCAACCACCCTGTCCCGTGCCACCCCTTACCTGCCGTACCGCTCCACCAGCACCCCCACCAGCAAGGAGCCCACGAGCCCGCCCAGGGCAAAGATGGAGACGGTCAGGGAGTAGAGGAGGGTCAGGGGGCCAGAGGCCAGCCCGTGCCCATACCGCTGGGACCATGTGGCATTGTAGAAAGCCTTTATGTGCTGCAGGGCCAAGAGAGACACACGGGTACCAAATGTGCTGGGAGAAAGGGGAAGACAAGGGAAGACAGGCCCCGTAGGGAAAATGCCATGGGTTTAACAGCATTGCAGGACACGCAGGGCAGGACGTGACTGGGGATGCCTAGGATGTGCTGGCCTGGTTGCTCAGCCAGCCTTAGCACCAGAGGGGTTTAAGGACAACTTAGAGATGCCACAGGCAGAGCTGGAGCTGGAGCAAGGAGGTTGTGGGCAGCTTTCCCCAGCCCCTGCCTTCCAGGGGGTACCTGTCTGGGGGGAACTACATGAACACAGGTTCCCATGTCCCTCCCACGCCATCCCTTTCCCTGGACTGCTCTCCACAGGTGACTGCCCAAGGGAAATGGCAGCATTTTGATGTGAAGCTGCTGAGTAGTGGTCCCTCCACCCTCCCAGGGAGGGATGCAGAGCCCTTCCCCTGCTCCCAGAGAGGCTGCCCATCCCTTACCACCGCTGGCGAGTTCACCACGGCCAGGTTGTAGCCGTAGAGCATGGAGGAGCCAAAGGACACCAGCAAGGTGACTGACAGCAAGGGGAAGGTGAGGTGCTGGGAGAGAGAAGGAGGGATCAGCACAGGCCTGGGCCAGCAGAGCCGGGGGCCAAGGTCACACGTGGCATGAGTTGTGTTGGGTCACTGCCCCTTTTCTAATACGGATGTCCCTGGCCCAGAGCAAAGCCCTCAATGTGACGGAGCCCTGTGCTGAGCACCGCTTCATGCCACCGCCCAGCACTCAGCCCAGCCGATCCGGCTTCCCCGTGGCCGGTCTCGTGGCTGTGGCGTGAGGCTTTACCCTGGCAGTGGCCCAGCTCAGGCTGCTTGTCCCAGCTGCCTGTCCCAGGCACCCCTGCCCCAGGGCTGGGAGGGGGCAGCGGGCAGAAAGGGGCAGGCCGAGGAGGGAGAGACACCCACCCCCTCCCCTAGATGGGGGCACCCAAATGGCACTGCTGCCAGCTGCCCCGCACATACCTCCCTGCCCGGGAGGCCCAGCGCCACTGAAAGGCGCAGTTCCCCGCGGCAGGTCCCAGGCCTCCCAAAAATGCCACATGAACCCACCTCCCAAACCCTCACCCCCCACCAGCACCTCTCTCACCTGCTCCGGCTGCAGGGGGGACCTCGCTGTGGGGAGCCGACGGCTGCGGAGGGACACCCTGCAGCCCCGACCCAGCCCGAGAGGGTTGAGACCAGCCCCCCCCCGGGGATCGGGGTGCCCTGCAGGACCCAAGAGGCATTCGGGGTACCCCCCACCCTGAGGGGCACCCCTGGGTGCTGCACCCGGCTGTCTCCCCTGGAGCAATAAGCGTCCCACGGCCCCACAGCGACAGGGCTGGCGTGGGGGGTGCGGGGTGAGCCTGCGTCCCCCGGGAGCAGCCCCGCGTCCCAGCACCCAGAGCCGGGCCCTCCCCGCAGCCGTCCCAGCACGGTATAGCCGGATCCGTAGCACCCAGCAGCTCCCGGCTCACGCACAGCAAATCCCCGCTAATCCCAACAGGAATCCCGAGCCGGGAAAAGGCGGGGGGGAGGAGGGGGTGTCAGGCCAGGGGCTGGGGAGGACGGGACACCGTGGGGCAGACGGGGAGCAGGGATGAGGCAGCCCCCCCCCCAGCCCGCAGGGAGCTCACCCCAGTGATGTCCCCGCCGGGCTGCGGGGTCCCTTTCCCGACCGTCGGGGCGAGGCTGCAGCCAGAGCGGGGGGAGAGAGGAGGAGGAGGGGGGGGGGAGGAAGGCAGCCCCGGTCCGGCAGCCTGGCTCGTCTCTCCCATTTTCAGATGGAAGGAGGGGGAGAGGGAAGGGAAGGCAGGGCAGGGCAGGCAGCCTGGGTGCCCCCGGGGCTCATTGGAGGCGCCTGAGCGGCCGGAGGAGGAGTCCGGGGGCCTCCCCCCTCCCGCCGGGGGCAGGGGCAGAGGCAGGCCGGCACCTCCGGGCCGCCCAGCCCGCTGAGGGGCCGTGGCCAGGCCGGGGGGCAGCGGGACCACCGACGTGATGCTCTGCCACCGTTCAGAGCCCCCACATGTCCCCTCTAAACGGGGGTGGGCCCGGGGACCGTAAGCAGGGCAGCGTCCCCGCATCACCCCCCGAGGCTGGGGGCGAAGGCGCAGCCCCACATCACCCAACACCCCCAGCACCCCCCTCCCACCCTGTCAGGCATGTGGGGTACATGTGCCCCATCCTCTGCCACTCGGGTAGGAGGGCTGGTAACCCACACGGCCATGGCTCAGGGCAGCTGCCTTCCCCGGACACGGAGGGGCACAGCCCCCAGCCCCAGAGAGGAGAGACTCGGCTCATGGCAGCTCAGAGGAATCCAATTTTGCTGCGGCCAGAAGCTGCCTCCCCTGCTGCTAATGAAGTGCCTTTAATTAGCAGCCTAATAGCAAGCTCTTAATTTGCCGAACAGCCAGTTGAAAGGATGGGGACCCCACTAAGCCACGGCTGGCAACAGCTCCAAGACCTTAAAAGGGACAGGCCCCGACAGGCTGGCCCCACTTCAGGAGGGGTCCCGCAGGGATGGGGCAGGGGAGCAGGGCTGCGAGAACCCCGTGGGCACGGGCACCTCTGGGCCCGCTGTACCCAACCCCAGCCCGGCTGCCTCAGCTGAGGGAGAGCCTGGGTGCCTCATCCTCCCACGCAGGATGCTCCAGCTCCTGTCTCCTCCTCCCTCCACACGGGCCTCCGGCTCTCCCCGAAAGCACTGTGCCCTCTCCCCAGCCATGAGCCCTTCCCAGCCTGCCAGCGTTCAGCTTTTCCCAGAGCAGGCACCTGCTCAAGAGCTCCTGTGTCTTGCTCAGACTCAGTTTCTCCCTGTCTCGATCAGGGCATTGCCTTTACCTTCGTGCAGGTGTGCTGGGTGGCTGCAGAGACCTCGGTGATAGGGCCTCAGTGAGGGGAGACCTGCAGGGAGCCATGGTCCTTTGGAGGATGATCCCATTTCATTCCCAGAGCAGCAGGATGAAGATCCATTTATCGGACATGCCCACGGGTGAGATGACCCAGCAGGAGGAGGACATGCAGCCTGAGGGTACCAGCCATGCCCGAAGCACTTGCAATGCTGCAGGGCAGCCCTAAACACCCCCAGGACTCACCCCAAGCCCTGTGCTAAGATAGGGCAAAGCAGCAAATGCGGAACAGGACGATAAGCCAGGCCATGCTGTTTCCCACAGCCATACTCCCACTCTGTTCATCCAGGTACATGGCTCGTCTCTTGGACCAGCACCTGGAGGGTTAAATGTCCCCAGTCCAGTGGTCTCTGCCACAGGGAGAGGAGGAAACAGCAGCAGCCATCTATCCCCCATCCTGAGCCATCCCAGCAAGCACCCACCTAAAAACCCTCCTGGAGCTTCCCAGCCTCTCTGCACTGAAGCCCTTGCCCATCCTCAAGCCCAATGCTCGGCCCACAGCCCTCCTCCCACCACACAGCCTGATGCCGTGGACCAAGCAGGGACATCCTCAGGACACTGTGCCAAGCCAGGGGGGTGGCCACTGCCCTGATTTAGGGGACAAATCCGGGTTACTGCCACCAGTTCCCAGCAGTGGCTGGGATGCCGGGAGCAGAGGTTTAGCAGCAGATGTACAGGTGAGAAACACGTGCTGGGGGAGGAAGGGGGAGGAGGAGGAGGAAGAAAGCCTGGGGTGCCAATTAAGGGTCACCAGGGAGCTGGGTTAATTGGAGACACTCCTGTGACCTGACCCAGTGATGGTGGCACACGGTAAGACGGAGACGAGTGCTGGCAAGAAACACCCGCTGCTCTGTACTGCAAGGGAGCTCATCTCTGCAATTTACAGGCGTCCCCATTCCTCCCCTGCCTCAGTGCAAGGACTCCCTGGCTAAAACATCCCCCTTGGCTGGGAAAGTGGCTGTGAGCCCACAAAGCATCCTCATCCCCTCCCACTGTCACTCCCAGGAACTGCCGTCCCACTCTTGCCTCGCTGCTGTCCATCCCCAGACACAGCGCTGGGGCTGTCCCCATCTCCATGCCATGGGATACTCACGCCTCCTCTCCTCGAGGCACTGCACACACCGTACCTGGGGCATGCAAAGAAACTCAGGACTGAGAGAGGCAGAGCAGCAAGAAAAGCCGGTCCCAGCATGCATCCTGCACAGAGCGATGGCATTTGCCAAGGCCAGGAGGACAAAGATGCTGTTGGGAGCCCCATGCTCTCCCAAGGGCTTCCCCTGAGCTGACGGTGTGGTGCTGTGCAGGGTGCCAGCAGAGCTGAGCTGCCCATGGTGGGGGCAGAGGCAGGATCCATCCTGCCCCAAGGAGCTTGTGTGGAGGGGAAGGACAGAGCCAGCCCCACTGCAATAGCAGAGCACCTGGTGCCTCCTGCCTCCCTGCCTAGGTCCCCAGGGCCAGGCACTGGCAACCACAAGCCAGCCATGCAGGACCCCACACCAAAGACATAAAATACTTGCAAAAAAATGGTATGAAGATTTCAGCAGGACTGGGGAATATGGCAGCAGGGAAGACCCACCAGGATAGTCTGTCCCCTTTTCCAAGATAAGGTGGAAATCCCTCGGAGAGGACATGGTCTTGGTGTTTGCCCAGCACCATCTAGTCCAAACTAGAACAAAGTCCACAAGGAAGCAATAAATGGCTCAGATAAATGTAGGCAAAAAGATGCATTGCTTAGCAGCCACTGACCCCTTTCCCTGCGCTGGAGGAGAGGAAACTCGGCAGCACAGGTGCAGCAGGCAGAGCCGCTCACAGACATCTCTGCAGCTTGAAAGGTCAGAGCAGTTTGCCAGTGTTGCCCTTTCAGAGTTGACACTGCAGAAATAGACAGTCTGGGTGCTTCCTTGTCTTGCTGCCCCCTCGGAGGAGAAGCCTTCATTGATCTGCCTTTGTAAATGCCAGCAGGGTGCTTTGGGCATGGGACAGGGAGTTTTGGACACATCAGCTGCGTGATGTTAAGCAGGGGCTTGAGTTTCTGCAAACCACAGTGGCCACCAGAAGAAACTCAGCAGTGTCCCTACTGAAAGCACTGCTCAGGCTGCTGTCTCTGCCTTGTTGCACTGGAAAGCCCATCTGACTCCATTCTCCAGCTGCAGGAAGGCTATTCACCTGTACAGGTAAGGCCTTTTCAAGCCCAGGTTTTCCTGGTCATATTCCTTATCCAGCTTCAGTGGTCCTTGGCACATCAGCCCCACCGCTCAGCAACCTCTCTGTTGGTTTGGAAATTTCTAGCTGCTCTTACCAGCCAGGTACATGTCAGCAAAGCACTTAGGAGATGCAGCTCAGGATGGGAAGATAACACTGGTGGGAAACAAAGAGTATCTCCTGGCCATAAAACGAATGTGTTCAAGCTCTCCTAGGGCAAAGCAAAGCAGCTGGTACTCACAGACATGCACTGCTGGGAGCTTGCTGGAAGAGCATCACATCCCTGTCCATCAGATGTCCTCAGCTGTTCTCACCAAGGAAGGATCGGCGAGCAAAGGGGATAGGCTGAGACCTCAGATTTCTGCAGCCCGTTAGTGGGTTATGTTAGATTTTCATGGAATAGTTGGCAGAAGCACGATCTAACTTTCCTCTGCTAGTCTTCTCCTCCAGCAGCGCAGGTGCTTTCCTCCTGGGACAGCATCCTGGGCAGTGTGTGTACTGGCTGTGAAGCAACTTGAGCACTTGGAAAAGAGAAATCTTCTGCAAGCACAGCTATACAGGCAGAGCACCAGGCTCTCAAGCCCAGGAGTGGCATCTTATTTCCACCAAACGTTGAATCATTTCCACACCCTCCTGGGCTCTGACAGGTCTGCCATTGCATGGGGGGAGCTCCACCGCACACGGCCTTTGAACAAATGGGGCCAGGATGCTGCTGGAGCCAGGCACAGCCCATACCCCACGGGCTGCCAGGACAGCGGGACAGCTCACCCGCAGAAATCAATGGCAGCACTAGAGCGTGTCTATCTGCTCAGCGCTTTTGTTTCCCCAGCCATGCTGCCTCCTCGGCTGAGAGCTCGCCATCCTAACCCTCTTCAAACCAACACAGCACCACCCAACTGCTGAATTCATTGTAAACATTTTTTTGTAAGAATTACATTAATTCTAGCCTAGCAGGTCTAAACTGGCCAATTTCCCCTTTCCAAAAAGTAGCTTACTATACTCTTGAAAGTATGTATATAATATAATAAAAAAAAAAAAAAAAAAGAGATTTCATTTTAAAGCTGTAGGTTGATCAAATGCTGTTAATTTGAAGCTATGGTAAACATTACTTTCCTCCTTCATTTGAAGTGGAAATAAGGCACACATTTTTAAACAGAAAGGGTAATTAACCACTGAATCTATTTAAGATAAGCTGTCTGGTGTTCATTCTTTTCCAGTGGAAATTTACAATTGAGATTACTTTTCTTTCACAAAGACTCTCTTTAGTACTTGAGTTTTAGGATGTGATGCCAGAATTCCTGGGAGAAGTTTTCCAGCCTGTGCCCTGCAGCACAGCACTGCCCCAGTCCTAGAAATCTGGAATAAATACTCTGATCCTTGTCTTTAGACATCAAGGAAAAGAAGGGGAAGGACTAGCTAAGGAACAGCTAGAAACAACCCACAAGGAGAACCTCCTTCTTGTAGGACTGGGTACGATGTGTGTTGTTTGGGTACACACAGGGACCCGGGACTATGAGTATAAAAGGTAAGGGGTCTCATTTGTGTGTGCTGGCAGTCACATGTTACTTAAGTCAAGCTGCATCCTGCATTACAGACTGATCCAAAACGATGGATGAAGCCTGTCACTGCAATTTCTCTTCCAAATCTATTATCGGATGGGAGGAAAGAGCAGGGAGGGAACAAAAAAGGTTAAAGTCATGTAAATATATATATACACATACATAAAAAACCAAAACCTTTGCCAAACAAAGCACACGGCTGCTGGGAACCCTGTCACAAGGAGAGACGGGGATTGGAAGTGACGGGAATCCTGCTCCCAGCGCTTCAGAAAAGCAGGAGCCTTTGCAATCTCCAGTCCCCTGCTGGCTCCCAAGAATGGAGCCAGCAGGGAGAGAGACGGCAGGAGCGCGGGGTTTGTTTGTTTTCTGACCACCCCAGGAGTCAGGATCTTAAAACTGCAGTGGCCTTTGTTTTAAAAGGGGCTGTTAAGTAAAACGGAAAGATCCAAGGCTGCTATTCGAGGAGCATTTTTAAGAGAAAGGTATTCTGAGGGCAAGGGTGCTTGCGTTAAAATTCGGGTGAGCTGTAAGCATGACAGCATCCCCAGCAACGGAGCTGCATGGCGGTGCTGAGATATGTCAATTACTCACTCATTATTGAACAGCAGGATTCTGATTAGCTTATAAAACAAATTTGTGCTTCTCCTACCAGGATCTTGCAACAGTACCCAGAAAAACACAAAGTCTTTATAGCTTCTCCCCCACACTTTTTTAATGGGCAGGATGGCTCCAGCTCTTCTGTGTCAGTCACATCCATTCTCTGGCTTACAGGGCCGACTCATTTGCCCCAGCCAGAGGCCATCAGCTATGAATGGAGAGTTTGTTAATTAAAAAGTATGCTGTGGTTTTAGGAATAAGTGTTTTTTTCTGACCGCCAGCACAGTCTTTTATGCTGCATTCATCAGTGAGTAGCAGCTCTGGGGTGGGACTGGCTACCGCAGACTCTGTGTGTTCTGTGAAGCTGCACCTACCCAGGCCTTGGGGCAAAGCGGTCCACCTTCTGGCGGCAGCACTTCCAGGTGTTCATGCTGCAAACATCGTGTACAGTGCACGTGTAGCAGAAGTATGAGTCACATACATGGGCCTCAAGGAAGATACAGGCTTGATATTTTGAATGTCCTTCACCCCAAAAGGAAAACAGGAGAGATTCACAGCTTAATCTTTGTATTTGTATTTAAGTTATTTTCTGAACAGTTAAAAAAAAAAAACAAACCACACTGTTACCATGATCCTAGCTCAAGTGAACATTAGTACATTAACTACACATCACCGTAACATAATCACAAAATTCAAAGCACTCATTACTTAAGAATCCAGATAACAAATATAGCAGAGTAACAAACAGAAAACTCTGGAGAAAACATGTTCCTTCTCACCTCTCCCACTTCCACATCCACCTCAGCCTGAGCAGGCAGGAGTGATGCAGCATAGGCTGGCCTGGCAGGCATGCAGCTCTCCTAAACATAGTGATGTAAAATGACTGGGAGAAATGGGATGTTACACTTTGCTGAGGTCCACGTTATTTTTCTGCCATGCTAAAACGTGGCTAGGCTGCCCTGTAATGCCTTGCATGATAAAGACAAAGTAGCTGAAAGCAAAGTTTTACGCTCAAAAGCAGCTCCAGATTTTCACACTGAATTGCCCCCAAATTCTCACAGCTAGCTCCTTGTAAAAGCCACTGCAAATAGCCTGGGACAGGCTGGCCTGCGTTCCTCCTGCACATGGAGCTTTCCTCAGACGTAAACCAGTGCTTGAGTGCCAACAGATTAAAACACTTTACCTGTAAAGGCAACAAATTGTTATTCATCGTACATGTGTGAGCAGAGCTGGTCTGTGATGAAGACTGGTATTTCATGCTGATTTTCTGGCCACAGCTGCACTTGGCTCCTGCTTGAGCAGAAATCAGGGTATCTTTTAGGGTGATAGGCTATTAAAAAAAGGGACTGATTTAGGATTTAGCTACAGTATCTAAAGGGCTTGTTGTACATCCATGTACATCAACATCCCTCTGATTTTGACAATATCAGCTTACCATGACTAAGGATTAAACAGTGTTGCCAACTCCCATGGGATATCCGCTGGACAACAAATGTGGAAGCCCAGCGGTCTTTGGGTACAAGCACAAAGTCACAAGAAGAGTTTTATGACAAGACAAACGATGATTTTTTCTAGCAGTGTGCCAAGGCTCACACTAGGAGAGACGCTTTGGGATTTGCCAGTAGTTTGGCTACACCTCATTTTAAAAAAAAATGAGGTGAGGGGGAAAGGAGGGGAAGCCAAATGCTCAGCCTCAGCAGGCAGCCGTTGCTCTCAACCTGCTGCTGAGGTTGTGGAGAAGGCACGCGCCCAAGGGACCTGCTGCTTCTGCGAGTCTCTGATTTAAATGTGGGGACAGAAAGACTGTGGCCCCCTCATGCCAATCAATCCGGTAGGGATTTGCCAGCAGAAGGATGGAGGGATTTCATATGGAGATCTCCTTTGGGGACAGCTGGGTCACTTGCTGTTCCCCCCTCTTTCTGGGAAGCTGCTGCTTACTGCTTTGGGGGGAACAACATTTGGGGGCAAGGCTCAGCATGTCAGATGCATCATGCATGCCACTTGGAGACCATGGCATTCTTCTCTTGGCAAGTGTAGTTTAGACCATCCCCTTCTCCTTATGCCCCCATGCAACCTAAAAGGGGCACCAACCAACAAGTTCAACAGTTGGAGGCCTTACTTGATTACCTCCTGATGACTTTTGATGTTCTCAGAGAAAACCTCTATTCTTCTGAGTCAACTACACAAGCTAGGAGATCTATTTTCAGCATTGTCCCCACTTCTGTGGAGATCCATCTCCATCCCCGCACCCCCTCCTAGCTTTCAACCACTTGGGTTGTCTCCTCCTTTTCCTCTCACAATTCCCACTTCTCTAGCTAGGAAGAGCTGCTAGTATTTGTGATTTATCAAACACAAATATTCCCCCACTCGAGTGGATTTAGGAATCAACAGCCACAAAAGGCAGATCTAAAATGGTGTTAAAGGAAGCTAACAAAGTTAGGCAAAGAGCCCAACCTGGAGATGTGCTTCCCATTGGAGCTGGGATGCCAAAAAACTCAGAACCAAGCCTGGAGCTCTGCTCAGACTGAGAAAGGAACATGTGGCAGGGGCAGGAAACACATACCTGGGAGTGGAGAAATGCACATGATACTCTCCAGCTTTTTCAGTGTTCAAAAAAAAATTAAGAAAAAGAAAATAGGATCCTTTGGAGCAGGAGCAGGTGGCGGGTAGATAGAGCATGGTGGTCCAAGTCAGCTTCCAGTTTAGAAACAAGTGTAAACCATTTCAACGTTTCTGATGATCATAGACTTCTCAACTTGTCACCTGAATCCTTCCATTCCAACAGCGGATATGTCTGTCCCTGAACGTTAATGGGGAGCAGAGAGGGCTGCCCCAGAGGAGACAGCCACAGAAGTAATTCCTTCATGCCATTTTCTATTTGCATATTTTAAAGCAAGCTGTATTCCTCTGAGGATGAGAAATACTTGCAGCAAAAATGTGCCCTATTGCAAAGGAGTCACAAGCAGGAGACGGTGTGGCCATAATGGATTGTCCTGCTCTGAATGTCCCACACCTCCAGTACTTTCCATCCCAGAGTCCAAGGGGAAGGCTAATGTGAGCTTCCTACTTGTGGGAGAAGTGCCGATCTCTATGCAGCAGAGGTATTTCATTTCATTTCAAAGCGATGTGCAACACTTAAAGCCCACAGACACTTCCAGCCCTTTTTTATCTCCTTTCAGCAGACACATTCTAGTTCTTTTCATTATAAACTCTGCAATTACTCCAACCTGGCTGAGGGATTATCCATCCAGTTCATGCTGAAACCTCTCTCTCACATGCACTCTTGCACACTCACACGCACACACTAAAGGTGGGTGGGTGGGGGGGAGTTTGAAAAAGCCACTTTCTTCTGACATTGGTGCACAATAAACACCACCAAATGTCAGGCTGTGGCAGTTTCAAGTTCAAGTTAGATCAGTTAACTTCAGTTTCCTTCTTAGCTATGAGAAAATTTGTACAACTCAGGGAGTGGGGTAGGAATGCTTGCCCTTCTGCGGTTCTGTATGAAGTACCCAGACACAGTCCTTTCTTGAGGGTAAGACACTGTTCTTACCGTGTGCCAAAAATGGATTTCAGCTGTTGCTCACTAACTGTACCTTAAACAGCTCTATATAGCAGAGTTCAAACTATGGTACCACTTGAAGACCCAACAGTGCTTAGAAGTTACAGAATAGCAGCATGGAGCAGCAGGGCTATGACAACCAAGGACAATCTGCAATGGTGTTGTCTCTGTGTTTGGCCAGCCAGTCTTCCAGTTCTCCCAAATTCTCTCAAGTAGCAAAATAAAATGCATCCTTGTAGGTGTTGGCCACAAAGATGCAATTAAAATATTAGGAAGTTCTGCAGCCTTCAGAGGCTGGAGTAACAGATCATTGTTTTCTACAATAACCTAAATGTAAAAGACAAGAGGATGACCAAACTGAGGAAAATAACTATTAAATCTGCAGCCAAGGTCATATAAACACCTGCTGATATGCAACCACACTGCAGATCTTGTAATAACTGAACTTAGAGGAACAGTGTTCAAATAACAGTAAGAATAAGACTCGGAACTTCAATTCAGCAAAGTTTGGGATGTAAACTTTGATTCTCTCTGCTCCCTTGCCATTTTGGCTTTGGGACTGCAGTATGCCTGATATGTAGAGCTGCCTGAAATCCAAAACAGCCTTCCTAGACTTAAAAGTAGTGCCAAAATTAGTTGTGGATGAACTTATCATTGTGACTTGGAACTTTTATGACTCTGCAGACGTAAGTCACACTGTCAGTGTCACCTGAACAGAGCTCAGTTGTTGAACTGTTTGACTCTTTTACAGTAATAGTTCAAACAGAAAACAGGAGTGTCACCATGTGCTCTGAGATGCTCTTTAGAACTAATGTAGTTTCTAGGCTCAAGGAAAATACAGGGAGCTGAGTGCTCAACACTGCTGCCCATGTGCTTCAGGAACTGTACTAGGTACTCCCCAAGCACCAGCTTTCCCTTCCTCCATAACTCCATCACCTTCTTGTCTGTCTTAGCTGTCACCGAAATGATTTAAGCCCTCTGGACTGCTCTTTGGGGACTCTTGGCCTAGCTCCTTGCAAAATTTCATTGGTGGAAAAAGCACATCCCAAGCAATTAGAAACAATGCAACTGCTTCCCCAGCAAAGTGAAGTTGATGAGAATAGCTTAAAAAAATTTCCCATCTACGAACTTCCAAGTTTAGAAGGTGCTAACAAAGCCTGTTTAAAACTCCTCCAGCCCCCAGTCCAGAGACGAAGGATCCCGATTTCCTACTGTGGGATCGGAGCCACTCCCCACTAAGGCAGCGGGGGTTATTCAAGACCTACAGTGGAAGATCTGGGCCCAAACCTGGAATGGCCAGGGACTGACTTACACAGTCTTTTCTGATCTAAACGCAGGCCTGCTGCAATTCCTTCCAGCTCTGTAAAAAGAGCCATTTTCCCCCAGACCTCTCTGTCTAGTTCAGAGACATGCAGAATTGTCTCTCATGTCCCTCTTCTTTAGGGCTTTTTTTATCTTCTAAACAATGGCAATTTGCAAAAGGCTCAGCTAGAAAGCAAAGATCCAGCTCAGCTATCAGCAAAGGGACTAATCAGCCTGTGTCCCTAAACTGCAACGCAGCATGCACTTAGGTTAGAGAAGCACACCAAAGGCTCTCCCTCCAAAGGCTTTCTAGCAAGGCCAGCCCCAGAAATGCTGCAGAACTAGCCTGGAGCCACTGCTAACTGTACTGACTGTACTCATGGCCATACTTATTTTATCTATCTGCCATCACCAGGGGACTGTGCATTTGCTCATTCATGTGAGCAAGTCTTATTGTCACGGCCAGAGTGTTTGTGTAGTGTCTCCACTCTAGGGTGGCTCGATCTTGAGACCTCCGCAAGGTTTTTAGCAGCTCCCTCTTTCAGCACCCAGCTACAGCCTCCGGGGAGAAGGAATGGAAAGAAAGGAGCAATGTCCAGCTTTCCTCCTCACCCTAGCCTCATACTTCCTCCAATTTACAGCATGATTTGTAAGCCATCAGCAATACACTGTCTTCAGGGAGAACAGCAGGAGGAAGATGGTACAGACAATCCCTTTGCTAGTGAAATACTGCCCTGGGCCAACATTTTACCTGGGGCAGGGGTGGGTGGGATCTCAGCCCCAGTCCATCATGCTTGGGACTTTGGCAGAAGAGAGTTTAACTTTTCATTGACTAGCATTCCCCAGCCAAGCAGATGTGAAGGGAGACTACGATACACATCCAGCTTCCAAAGGGTTAGCATAGCAGGCAGGAGAGGAAAGAGATGGATTTGGCTCGTAATAGTCAAATTTCAAGGGTCCTCTCTCCACAAAAAATAGGTCTGCAGTCAAAACAGCCAAAAGCCGCAGGGAAGTTGGGGGGGCCTGGTCTGGCTGTTCTAAGTGTTTCTGTTGCTCTTCAGAGCTGAATGCTTTTTCAAAGGCCTAGCAATGGATATTAATTTCAGTCTGAGAGTAGCAGCCTCCTCCCCACCCACCTTGCAATGACTCTCTCAGCAGGATGCACTGTGCTATAAGTCTTCTGCTTAACAGCAAAGCAACACATTCTGGCAACATCTTAAATATATTCATAGGACATCTGTGACTGGGTTTGGAGGGGAACCAAATAGGGTAAAGGGAAGAGGAGTGAACAGGAAGAGGGGGATGAGGGAGGAAAGGGATGGCAAGGTTTAAAAATGTTAACTGTTCATGAAAGATAAAAGTTATCTTCTGATATAGCAGCACTTTAGCAGTCAGCCGCGCTGAGTAGACCCTGTCCGAGATCAACCGCATGCCAACTTTGTTCCAGAAACAAGTCTGAGAGCCTCTCTCTTCAGCAAGTATTGGTTACGTGGATAGTTCTTTTGTCCTGGCATTGGCAGGTAATTTAAATACTGCAGCTTAAATGAGTCCTGGGAACAAAAAACAGAACAAACCAAACAAACCCCATTCGTACTAAACCTTTTAATGATTTAAAAGAACATTAACCAGAGTGTTTGAGAAAATCAAGATTGCTGATCTGACAGCTCTGGAGCATCACTGTACATTTACCAATCAAACAGACAGCATTTTCATGGGAAAATGTCACTGTGGACATTTGCAGAAGCCTGCCAGCCCTTCTGCCATTTTTCTCAAGATATTAACAGCAATCATGCATGTACCCACCAAAGTGGGCAATCATGCTATCCCGCTCCACTCATATACATCAAATCCACTCTACAACTGACCCAAACATATGAAACATTATGTCCTCCCCGCACTGTGCTGTCCAAGACAAAAGGGTAAGGTGACAAGCAAACCAGCCAGGCTCTGATACGAACAATTTAACACCTGCGCTATGCTAGAGAGAACAAGGGCTAGGCCCTATCAGTAAATGACTTTGCATGTTGATGCATCTCAATTAAATTTGCCTGGGCTTGTGCCTCAGTGTCTCCTCCCCTAGCCAAACTGTTCTCTTGAATCAGCTTGCTGCAGAGTGAGAAGAATGGTCACCACTTCAGAGGGAGGGAATAAAGCTGACGCTTCTTGGCAAAACCCTCCTGCCTGGTGACAACTGCCCAGGGTCAGGCCATCTGCATCCCCTTGTTAGGCAGCAGCTGCTCTACTTGCTCTGCAGAAACCCTTCTTCCTTCTGGACAGCAGTGATAGCTGATTTAATTATTGATGATGATAGACAGAGGAGGAGGAGTTCTTCAGGGCAACTCACAGGTGCCACATGCCACAAATCCTAAAATAAAGTCCCTATTCTAGGGTATCAAAACCATTCCTGTCCTTTTACAGGACACTGTAATTACTGTCCAGCCAAGATGAGAAATATTGATAGACCCAGCTAGTTATTCAAGCAGCATGCTCACACTACATCCAGTGTCACCTTTGAGCCTCATTTTATTTTTTTAGTTTTTTTTTTACCTGTGCGAGTGTGAGGTACAGTGTAGTGTTATTTATCTTGAGATGTAGGTGTATGTTCTGGATGGGGAACGAGTGGATTCTGCTTGGGCAGCTGGATCGTTCAGAAAATCCCAGATAAGGATGGTGTCATCATGTGAGCTGCTGACGATCTGGAACTCATCAAACTGAAGTCGAAAGACTCTTCCAGAATGCTCCTAAATGCAAGTGGAAGACACAGCATGTTACTTTGTGAACTTGCTGGCACCTGGGATGAAGCAGGGAAGATGAACTTGAGCTTCGATTCTAGTGTCACATTCATTTCTCAGTAAACCCCACATGACACACTGTGCATCACCATCACACAGTGTAAATTAAGCTCTCTTTCAGTGAAAAGGGCTTGCCATAACTGAGTACTTGGCTCGCAGGAAGTTAACATTACAGTTATCCCATTACTCCTTAAATCCCAATATTGGACATACGCTGTGCAGGACAAACTAAGCTCCCTCCACCACGCAATTCACTCTGGTGAGGCTGATAGGAGCACTGTCTTCCTTGTTCCATAGCGAAACTCCTTCCTGAAATCACAGCATTCCCAGATGTAGTAGGTTATGGGGGGAGACATGAGAATTTTGCATTCAAGACTTTGCACCATTGCCACTGCTGAAGAGGAAAGAGCTTAATACTGGAGGACACTAAGGACCGTCTTGTAAAGTCCAGTGACAAAATAATAATTCCTCTTAAGCAGTTCTAAAAATATGAACTAGAAAGGGCATTCTTTATAGGCAGTTCACATTCTGCTCTGAGGCTGAGTGGAAATGGCATGACAATTTGGCAAGAGTTCAGACTGTAATTAACAGGAGGTAACAGCAAGATCCTGGATATCACAGAGCAAATCCACTATGCTTTCCCTTTTGTCTTGCCTCTTTCTTCTTGGTGCTTACACTGCTGCAAGAGTAAGCAGTGGCCTCCTCAGTCAGAAGGGAATAGAAACCATGCAACTAGGGTGAGCCCTATCTCTTCCATTAATACCTATTTCTCTTTAGTGCTCACATGTTGTAAGGGGCTTAGGGTCAGGTAAAAAACATGTCTTAAAATACTTTAATACTGACAATACAGGTTTCTTAAACATTTAGACAAAAGCAAATTGTTAGCTACTAATGGGAAGCCTCTGTCTTATGGCACAGGGCTACAAAAATACAGCTTGGTTGCAAAGTGCAACAGCTGCTTTAAAGTGGATCTCTGAATCGTAAAATTAACTGAAAATACACACACGCAGAAGTCAGATTCTATTTTTAAGATAAATTTTAAAAAAGGTCTAATCATTGGAACCTTTCTGATCTTCTAACTCTAACTCAAATTTGTCTTAGAAACACCTTATAGGTTTCTGTCTTCCCACCTATTCCAAAAAGAAATGTTTTTCCAGAGTCTGTGTTGTAGCAGTGAAGAAGTTCGTGCTAAAAAATATCACTACAACAGTCAGATCCTCTGAGGGATTGCTCACAGAGACACCGAGAAAGAGGTACTTTGAAAAACCATTTCCAAAACTCCCTTTTCTCTCCCAGTCGCTGTGGGCTAAGTAGGGTTGCCCTCGAAGTTCCACATAGCACCTGCCCTTTGCTGTTGCAGTGGCAATAAGCAGAATGCACACCTTAAGTTCAGGCCACAAGGACCTGGACTCTTTAGCTTGTAAGGAAAGCTGAACTGTGTGCTTATTCTGTGCCTGGAAAGCTTCTGTCAAATTCATGTGGCCGCCGTTCTAGCTAACGGAAGACAAAACTGGAAGGGACCTGGCATGCAGCGAGCATTTGTTATCCGTGCACTTTCCTCCTACTGTTTGAAAATTGAACACGAGCAGCAGGAGACTCACGATGTTCATTGTGCAGCCAGGTTTAATTTTGGAGGCCAAGGGAAGAGAAAAAAACAACAAACCAAACCATGGGTAAGCGGGTATAAGGACGTCCTGTTGTCATAAACATGAAAAGTCCTAAAAGCACCACAACAGCTTCTTCCTCTGCCCCCCCTCTTTTGGCCCCCTCCATTGCTATCAAATGGGGATTTATGAGTATCCATGTGTTGAGATTCCTACAGTGTTTCCATCCCACCGCTTCTGATTTATAATATAATTAGCTGGGGCACTTTGGCTGTCCACTGCTGGAAAATGCAGAGGAAATCACACCAGTTAAATTAAGTCTACAGGTTACTAGGCACACATTTGTCTCAGGCTGGAGCAGGAACACTACTAATACCAAGCTGAAGTGTTAGACTCTCAGGATATGTGCTCATGGGCACAGAGTTGTTCCATAGTTTGGAACTGGGTGGCTGATGACAAAGGGGGTTTTGGATTTCAGCCATGAAACTATTTGCGGTTCTATTTGGCTAACAAGAAGGTTTTTCAACATAGTACCTGCAGGCATCCAAGGCTCTCACAGACTCTTACTCTGCAGCTTATGGTCCAAATACATGATGGAAAAGAGTTAGCATGGCTTAATGATCTACTGGCTGTCAGCTGAGTCACAGTAACCCTCCCAGCTTGCACCAAACGTGAAGTAAAATACTTAGCGAAATCTACAGCAACAGTAGAAATTCAGGTGGTTGATGAATGTGCTGAAGGTCAGCTAGCACAGCTCAGCTGGTGAGAGGTAACCACACTTTTAAAGAATCAGACAGCCTTGGTATGATCTTGGTTTTAGAGCACAGACTACAGTCACTTGCTACAGCAGGAAAAGTTCTAATGTATACCAACTCAAACACTTTTTAGCTAAAAAATAAATACATTTAGCAGTTCTTTTTCAATGAGAATTTGGTACTGGGTTGAAATCTTCCTCTATCCCCAGCAACACTGCAAGGTTTTTGGGGTGAATGTGATGGAGGAATGCTTATAGGAACCATCCCATGACCTTGGCTGTACTGGCATTTTTCTCACAACTTGCCCACATTATTATAAGACCAGTGCAGAGCCACTGTTAAGCATGACTGTGAATGTTGTCAATGCTCACACAATGACATTTTAACCACACCATCATCAGACCTGCACTAAATACCAATAGATGGCGTGAAAGCAGTAGCTGCTGTTTAAGGATGAGGCAATATCACTGTCTGTTCCAGTCTTTACCTGCTTTTTTCTTAACACCCAAAAGTCAGTAAAAAGCAATCCCAAGGGTGTTCTTGTTCCTCAAATTTGGAATGTACTACTTTTCTTTAAGATGTTTCATGTCAACAATTTAGACAACTTACTACTACATCATCAGGTACACACAGGTTAAAGTAAACCTACTGGCACATGGATTTCAAGAAGGACAAGTCTCAAAAATGGATTTAATTATTAACTCCAAATCACAGAACAAAGCTTTTAAAAAATGAATGAAAACTCCACAGGTTCTAATTTCTAATGCTTTATAGTTTGCAACATTAAAAAAAAAGTTGCACAGCCAAAAAAGCCAGACTCCTAGAAATGATTTCTAGATCCTGCAGACTGGGGCTAAGCTGACTTGAGTTTTCATAGCTCAGATAGCCCTGATCAAGCACACCTTTCTGCCCTCTCCGACACCCCTACCAAAAGCTCTTACCACAAGGGTTCGCAAGCAGAGGGTCCCTGCTGGAGCACGGGGGTCCAAAGCAGCCACAAGATCCCATACTTTAATTTTCCTAGTAGTGAAAAAATGGACAAACACCATGGCTCTGTTAAAGAGAAAAAGAGCAAGTGCTCACAGAAAAACATTAACTGTTAGTACAGCTTAGCTAACACACCAGTTCAAGGAAAATTACAGCAATCCTTCTGCTCTTGAGACCTGGTTCTTGCATTTTCCCTTTGTAAAGGTTATAGAGCTTAATGGAAGAAAAAAATATGCTGTCAACAAGGTAAAACACATAAAAAGCAGGTGATAATAACTAAGAGAAACATGTGGGAGTGTAGACACCTAGTCTGTAATGGCAAATGGTCCAGAAGATGTAACCACAGATGGGAAAGGTTGTTCTTACCAGTGGTTCAGCTAGAAGAGGTTTCAGACTGAGTCGTCAGATATTCTTAGAAGCTAAAGAACTGGATCACATGAATCAAATCATACTGACTTATTTAAAAAAGAAGAAAAAAAGGTATACTTTGTAACATGGGCCTGATTTTCTGGCCATGAAAAGGTCCTCTTGGTATGACAGACAAGAAGTCTAATATTTATAAGGAAGATACAGCAAAGTGGGATGTGAGACAGACAGACAGGAAGATGCAAGGTATTGACTTGCACTGACAGCCTTACCCATCATATGCCCCACTGACTATCCTCTTGTTATCAAAGCGTATGCATCTCACCAACTCTTCATGGCCTTCCAATACTCGTAAACATGCCCCACACTCGATATCCCACAGCCTGGAAGAGAGTACAAAGCAGCACTAAGAATTTTTTAATACCTGATCATTGCAGTGAAATATTTTGGTCTTTGCTTGTAGTTAATGGAAACTTGGAAATAAAGATTACGATGAAACAACAAGGAAACAAACTACATTCATCACTCCTTTTCCTGCTGTTAAGTGGACGTGTGCTTTTCAACATGACCCTGTTACATTACAGTATCACATGGGAAATAAGTCAGAAATCCAAAAATTTTAAGACCAGTTGTGCCTAGTATCTACTGCTCTAGTAACACAGATATGTCCCAGTTATCTTCACAGTGAGCCTCACAACTTTATTTTACTGAAGTTGATTTTTCATGAAAGTATCCTGCCTTGATTTCAAGATGTTAAGAGAGGGAGACTTACTAATCCCCTTGGCAGCTTGTTCCAATTGGTAAGATCACCTTTACAAGGCACGCACCCTTTTCTGTACCCCTATATGCCTATTTCTGATTTGGAGACTACCATCAGACAAATTAAGACACCAATAAAGTGGTGAAAGGTACAAGAATTAACAAGCCCTTTTTATTTGTCATTTCTCCCACTGAAGGTATATTTACTCTGTAATCTAGGTACCTTATGCATAAACTAAAATGGGCACTCTATTATTTTATAATGCATTTTCTTCTTGCTCTCAAATAATTCCTGTGGCTCCCTGCTAACTGGTTCTAATAATCCAATATTTTAAAAAAGTTCTGGCACCAAAACCAGTACACAGTATCCCAGTAAGAGACCCAGCAATGCGTTAATTCTCTCAGCTGTAAATATCCCAGAGTTTTGGGCTTTGTGAAGGATTTTTAGCATGGAGAATAAATTAAAATACATTAATTTTTATACTTACACACTACCTTGAAAAATACTTAAGAAATGCTTGAAACAGTTATGAAGTAAGTCTATGTGCTTTCCATACTTTTGTCAGCTCTTTGACATGACTCCCAATTAGCATGGAAAAAGAAGGATTATTTCCCTATAAGAACTGAAATTCTTTGACATGTATTGTCCAGAGGTGTTCCATCTCTGGCTGAGACATTCCCTGCTCATACAGGAATCTTTTAATAGGAGTATCTGCTGCAGCTCCCTGACACACAGCTGAAAGAAACCAGTCACAAATGTTCTTAAATGCTCATTCAATTAGCATTCAGACTGACATGAACTTCACAGTAGTGAGAAATATGGGTAGTTTGTGGAATTTCTCTGGGTGACACGTCTCAAAGCAGCACAGCAGCACTTTCACTTCTCCTTGAAAGACAGACAGAGAAAGAGATAAACTGTCCCCACATATTTTACTCCTGAGGTCCCCCAGGGAATAATCCAGATCCAGTGGATATGTGCCCAAGGTTTGTGGATAACAATTGCAGCTGTCCTAGCACGACAAGTTGCTCTCACTTTGGACAACAGAGGAGTGAACAGAACTCTTGTCACTATAGAACTGGGAAAGCATTTGTCTATGCACATGTTTGAGACCAACGAGGAGCACAGGGTGATTCTTTGATCTGTGAAGTCGATCTTTCAGGAATCTGTGAAGATCCCAATAGTTTTCACGTGAGTACCAGTCAAGGTCAGAGCAAGCAACTCCATGGCAAAGGTCAGCCAAAGGCACTCTGCCTGGTCAGAGCACAGCAAGTGTCTCAAGGACCGTAAACAGGATAGACAATGCCAGAAATGAACTGGTGCAGAAAGGTCTGAAGAGCAATCTTGTGCCAGGAACTTTTGTACCATGTGTTTCCATTCCTTGCCATCAAGCCTGAGATTGCCAGCAGCTCTGGGAGGCTGCATCACACAAATTCAGGCCCGTATTTTCAGGTCCCAGTTTGAGGTTCTACCTGAATCCGAATGGGATTAGAAGAGATGATCATGTCCCTAGCCACGTGGGGATTGTGCCTTCATGTACAAAAGGGATAACTGCTATGTAAGAGCAGAATGCCCTAGCAGAACTGGTGCCAAGGGTACCTCCCAGATTTGATAACGTCCTCAGATTTCTACTTCTTTAAATAGTCAAAGGACCAAATAGTAAGAGAACTACTCTTAAGGCTTGAGAACTAACCAAAAAAATTCACTACAAAGTATACACAGTCAAAACCACCACGACTCTTCCTTCCCATAGCTTTGAGAGAACTTCTGGAAGTAGAGGGAGGTCTGCAATTATCTCAACCTTTAATTCACTTGAAGTCCTGGCAGAGCTGTAAGATGTACAGAAGGCAGGTGAGCCTGAATCCCCATCTCCTAGAGAGAATGCTGTTGTCTAAACAGCCCAGTATCAGATCCCCGTGTGTGCACACACTGGAGGTTGAATACACACATGCAAACTGACCACTCATTTAAAAATTAACCCAAGATGATGTAGTCTGATTCTATTTTCTTGCTCTAAATTACTTTTTTTTTTTTCTTTTTTTCTATACCATGCATGTCTGTAGCAATTAAGAACTTTGGCCCTAGAGGCTAAGATACTGAAGTGATTGGATTAAACTTGATGGATCAGTTTCTACCAGACGGAAATCAGCACAATGACAGTGATGCTTATGTAGCTGTGTCCTCTTACACTGGTGAAATTTCTGGCTTAAAACAAAACCTAAATAATTTTTATACATGGAGTCTCCCAACAGAAGAAAGATATTGATTTCTCAGCTACTTCATATGTCCTTACATCTGCAGTTGCAAAACTAGAAATCACAGAGTTGTCTTTTGGAAAAAAGTTTCCCTGCAACTGAAGAATGACAAACTTCAAATTCTGTATCAGGAGGTAGCCTCTACTGAAGGCCAACACACAATGTCTGGCATTTTACAGTGGATTAAAATCAAACATAGAAAGCACCAAGCCGCCCAGAAAGGTGACTTAGTAACCTGCCTTTTCTTTATCACACTTCCACTGTCTTGTGCCCTCTGCTAATGGCTGGGAGAAAATGATGTGACCAGGTAAGTCTTGTGCCTTGCCCACACAGCTGCCAAACTTGGCTTCCATTAAGGTTCACTGCCAACATTCCTGAAATTCTAGCACAATTTATCTGTCAACTAGGGATTTTGTGCTATGTAAGCGTAAAAGTAACTGTATTCCTCTTTAGCATTATCACTATCTTGACATTTATTTTTCTTAGCATTGCAAGTCGTATTTTAGATCCTTCCCTAACTGCTGTAATATTTAACTACTTCTTACTCTACTTCTGAGACCAAGTTGCATAGTACAATTGCAGAGGGTTATTTTTTTCTAGTTGAAGTGCAGAAGTTCTCACCATGTGTAAGTGGTGCTAGTCTTACACAATGCCTGTAATACTTTTCCCCCTGATTAAGAGAGAGAAGTTCCAACTCTCGTGGTCATGCTCTCAGACAGCCCTGTACTAAAATCTGGCACAATGACCTGGTGATGTCAACCAAAGGACCACCATTTTCCTACAGAATGCAAAGCAGAGAGAGGCAGTGTGTTGCAAGCAAAGTCCACAGGCGAACAGTAGCATAAATCATTCTCACTGAGGGGAAATTATTACTAATATGCAAAGTGAAGGGTTTCTGCTTACACTGTCTGGCTTTGAAGTTTTATCAGAAGGCAGAGAATTATTTAAAGCAATGATAAAGACAAAAGGGAGGTTGCTCTTACTCCTGTTTGCATGACAGAGCCATTTCCCTACGTCACGTACACTACTACTCAAGCTTGCTCCGTACACCCTGAGATTACTGGGACATCCCTCTGCCAGCAGCTGCAGGATGTAGGGAGAAATCCTGGCTCATGATACCGAAGGAGTTAAATCTCAGATTGCAACCAGGGCAGCTGGAAAAGTGCAAAAGGCAGCAAAGTGAACTTCATGCTCTAAACCAGCTGTTCCAGACTTAACCAGGTGCCAAGTACCACAAGAAGAGTTTGGCGACAGCCCAGGAGGATTTCTGCAGAGGATTAAATGCCTCTTACTGCAAATCTGACCCCTTTAACTAGACACATAGCCCAATTAAAATATCACAAGAGGACATCACAGAAAGTGGTACTTGCCAGCTCTTTCATACACCAGAATTGTCAGAGCAATGCAACTTGTTGATTAGTATGGGACTCTTGAGATATAGAGGATGAAAGACAATACAGTAAAACAGGCTTCTAATATCTCTTTCCAGTAGTTCCCAATGTTCTACACCAAAGCAAGCATTTTTCAAAGACGACAAGGGTACAGAGCACTTCAGTTGTCTAACCTCTGCACATCCCAGGCAATCAGAGACAAGTGCTTGCATAGAACACTGCAATAGGGAGTGTGTCTCTCACCTGATAGTATTATCTGAAGAGCCGCTCACTACTAGCCTGTCTCTGTACTGCAGACATGCAATGCCTCGTTTGTGGCCATTTAAGGTGCGTACAAATTCGCAGGTACTAGTGTTCCATACCTGTGACAGGAAGGGGGGAGGGAACCACACAGAGATAAAATTATCAAGAAGAGACTAACAAAAGCTGGTGTCTGTATGATATATAGGTGCATCCAGAATGCCCTTAATTGAAGATGCCAGGGGAAAATTACCGCTCTGGTGACTTATGACTATAGTCTGCAACTGTTAGCAGCTTGGGTCACTGTACACAGAAGATTTTTGCCACACCGTATGAAAATTAGCTTCCAAAATCAGGCTTTAGCACTCTCAGGCTATGATTTAGTCTACACAGGATCTCGATTTTCCTCAGTTTTAATGCTGCAGATTGGGATCATAGCAATAACACTTAAGTGACTCCTATCCACTCACCTTTATTTTGCCCCCATGCTGCCCTCTGACAACTGTTCGAATGACTAATGCTGAAACATATGGAAGCGGTCAAGTCGAAAAAGAACACAGAAAACAAAGTCCTTTTTCAACTGCATCTGTACCTGGATCTGATTTGCCATACAGCTCTGTAAACAAGTTGTGCAAGCTCAACAGAGGGGGGACGAGTGGAAATGAGCCGCAGGAAGAGCACTGCTTCTAAAGGAAGATCTCTGTAATAACTGTCAAGGACCATCTTTCCTGTCTGGTCACTGTTCTTGGTTATTAAATACCCCAGTGCTGCAAATAAAAAGCCTCTGAAACACCTCACCTTTATAGTTCTGTCACCTGATGCTGATACAATGTACTTGTCATCAAAGTCCACTACGTTGACGGCAGCTCGGTGCCCTACTAGCACCCTCCTCAGGGTGATGTCTGTTGGTGAAGCCATGTCCCACACAGCAATGGAACGGTCTTTGGAACATGTCACCATCATGCCATTATTGAAGCGGAGGTGTAGTACTGCTTCGCAGTGGTGAATCAGTGTATTCAGCATCTCGCCTGCATTTACGTCCCACACCCTGCAGTTTCAAATTTCAAACCAGAGAGAAGAGAGTTAAAAAACTGTACAGTGGATTTTCTGTAGAGCAAGAGAGGGACGGGGAGAGGTAATTGACTCTCTAGCAATATTAGAGAAGCAAACACCACAAGTTATATCTACATCTATTAAATAGTTCAATAAAAGATGTATTCTATAAACCTGTTGATTATGCATACATTGAGACAGTCCAGCAGCCAAAAATCCTGCAATGCAGTTAACACCATAAAAATAACCCAGCCAGGAAAAAAAGCGTTCTTTAATTAAGGGAATTTAATGCTGAGGAAAGGTATGAGATTGATGGCCTTAAAGACTGATGTTTCCTGGTTGTGTCAGCCTACCACATACTCCATTTCCAGTCAATGAGTACTTAATCATGACCTGTGGGGAAGCAAGTTCAGTGACAGGTTTAATTTTTGACCTCTCTCACAGGACTATCAACTCAAAGGATAATTTATACAGAAGCAGAAGACAAGATAATGCTTTTCAAACAAATATAAGTAATTGCCACAAGTTGCACCACGAATTGCATTTACCCTGCAGTGCATCTGGTACACATTCCAGGAAAGTGCTGAATACCCAAATTAAGACAGAGCATTTATGTCAATTTAATGTTACTGGAACCAACTGTTTCAGCTGAAAGATAATTTAAGATGAAAGTTAGACAAAGGCTTCATACAGAACTTCTAGGACTCGAAATGAAGATTTTAAGCCTTAAAAGTGTTTCTTTTGGGCTATTCTGTTGGCAAACTTCTTTTACCCTCCATAAAGAGATTTCTTTTGGCACTATCACACCTGTATCCCAGATATACTATGTGAGAGCAGAAAACGGCTGTATCATCAAGCACATCAGATGTTGCAGAAGTTAAAACTTTGCCAATAAGGCGAGCAGTAAGAAAAGACAAGATGTGAGAGAGAGTTCTAGTGTTTTATTTTCTAACTTATGGAGGCTGAAGTGCATCAACTTATGGACTATAAATAGGAAAGAAAACTACATTCCAATGACAAAATGTAAAGGAGAAAAACTCACAGACTAAAGACCTGAGCCATTAACAGATGAGCAGTTTGCAGACAGGGTTGCCAAACTGAACAGGAGCTTGAGACCTACTGACTTCTTTGGACAAGTGCATCCCTGAGATCTCAGAAGCATTAAGAGCCCATCTGTACTGTCTATTGGATGAAGCCCCTATTCCTGACGAGACCCAAGGATAAAAGTGATGCGTCCTATGTGCCTCTGGGGTCTGCACAAACTCTTATAGATACAGTAGGAAACAAAGCATTTCTGGGCAAGTAGCCAGTCTGCAATTTGGCCTGCCTGGCCTGATATGGAAGATGATAGTGCTTGTTACAGAAATCAGCCTCTCCTTTTGTGATCTGTTTAGCACAGTGCAGTTCCCACATCGCCTCCCGGCAGGCAGTGTTGCTGAAATTCTGGATTCCTACTAATGATAGGACCCCAAAATCTAGCAGCACCACAAGACTGCATGCATCACATGTCAGGAACTAAATTTAATGGTTATTAGCTTAACAGTGGTAGTTTACATGCAAGCATGGTGACAACCATGACGAGCTTGCAGCCATAGGAACACATGCTAATAGCTTCAGAAAAGGCCACTGACACAGCTTTTTTTTGTCTGTAACATCACTGCATGGGCACTGTTTGTACACTGACAACAAGACAATATATAACAACATGGAGAAGACAGACTTGCTCCTTCACATCCAAGTTCATATTGCAGTTCACTAACTCATATGTGCCTGTATTTACACTGCAGGTCTTAGACTCTCAGGGATCCTGTATTACGTCTAGTGGACTTCACATCCGCATAACATGCACCACAAGTGCTGACTTGAGGTGTCCAGCCTTTTGCTGGAGACTGGAAGGAAAGCAAGGTTAGAAAGATGGAATGAAAAGAAACATAATGCTGAAATATAATTAAAAGTCACAGGAGATCTAGTCATACATCTTCTGTTAAAATTAAGTGACAATGGATGACCAAACCTTCAAACTTGCTTTGAAAACTTCAACCAACTTTTAAAAAGTTATTCTCAGGGAGAATTTAAAACATTCTCAGGGAGTGTCAAAATATGCAAAACCTTGGTGAAATGCCAGATGGCCTTCCTAAGTCATCTTGACCTTGACTGGCCTTTGCTTAGGTTCTCATTTCTCCTTGACAGCCATTTGCATGGGCATCTGATAAACAAGGACAGTATGCTCCTGAACAAATATGCTGAACTACTTCATGGAACTGATTGAACAGCACACATTTAAGAAAAGATCATTTCAGCATCTTGCAAGGCTAAAATCTTAGAAGCAAACAGAAAGCTCCAAATCACAAGCACACACCTGACTGTTGAGTCCGAAGATCCAGTAATAATCACCCGTTCATCATACTGGAGGCACAGGACAGAACCTGTGTGTCCGGTGAGAATTCGCTTGCATTCCAATGTATTCTTATCCCAGATCTAAGATAGCAAACATTCAAAACCAGACAACTCAGAAAGGTTTTCATTGTTCAGCAATTACTGGTTTGACTGGTCTGTTTTTTACTACAACACGTCAACCATAGTGCAGTTAAAAGATCTTTAGTGGCATCTGTAGAGTCTTCTAAAGGCTCTTTGGTGCAAGACATTAACATCTTTGATATTACTGGCTTTACTATGAACGTTGGTTTTACCTTTCTCATCAGGGTACAGGGTGCAGTAATTACATAGCCTGTAATTACTGATGGACAAAAACTCTGCTAGCAAAGTCTGTTTGTAAGAAAACAGGGTCTCTCTTGCCAGATAAAAGAGGCATACGTGCTGTGCAGGTGTGAGGTGGGGAAAAGAGAAGGCTAGGTTATTAACAGGAGATTGGGTAGGTGTCACTGAAATTAGGACACTATTATTTATGGCATAGGCACTATGTGCCATTAGTATGCCATTCTGGAGCACTCTCACCTTGATAGTATTATCTCGTAGGCCACTTACTATCTTCTGATCATCATACTGTAAACAATAAACGCCTTTGCTTGTCTCACTTCGGCAGTGGATTCTCTGTAAACTGTGCCTTCCACACCGCCAGTTTGACTCTATTGTCTTGAGGAGAGACAGGAGACAAAAGAGAAGTAAAAATAAAGCATAGAACTATCTCCCCTTTTTTTGTTTGCTTGAGAAGGCAGCAGATACCTTTCTTCACACTTTTTCCTGGAATCATGCCCATACAGTGACATAACTGCTTTCCAGAAGAAGCAACACACATAATAAAACCAATTAACACACAAAGGCCTGGAAAACATATCGTGGCTAAACTCATCTGTATTGTCTAGAATGGCAAGGGAGATGAGACCTAAAAGCTTTTTTCTATCTCCAACCTTTAACCCCCTGTGACTCAACAATAGCTGAAGACAAAGTCTTAGTTGAACTCTAGCTAAGCGCTCGTACAAACTTATTGCAAGAGTGCCTGACCACCACTTTTGCCATTAGCAAACTGCCAGAACATGGCATTTGTTCACACTAGATACAAGGCAGCCATGCTCAGTTGCTTCCCATTTCCCTGGGTCTTAGGATTGTAGTTTTGAGCAATGCACCTTCTCCCTGGCTCAGTTCCTGATATCTGCCCATAACACCTTATTAGGTCTCATCTGCACTGGGTGGAGTAAAGTACTGTGGAACAGAGAAAATCAAGTAGGTACGGTGCTGCTGTGACATCTGACGTGCAAGGTGTAGACACTCCATGTGCAAACAGCTCACTAAACAATCCAACTCATCCTCTGTCTAAGGGAGAGGCAAAGCTTGGGACCTCATATAACTGTCCCAGATCTACAAACTCTGGGCAAACACAGACGCATCAGATTTAATGAAATGTTTCATTAGAACAAAATATTGTCAGAATTCCAGCATCGTGAATAAATCAGGGAGATTTAAAAAACCAAACAAAACCCAAAAAACCCACCACATCTGGAAGCTGTTTCTTACCTCTATGTCCTGTATAATTTTGGGGTAAAGTGCTCTGTAGAAGGAGTTCGGTGGTGCAGTCCCATCGGGAGGTTTATTTTTAAATAGATATTGTCCCCTGGAAGACAAAAAACACTCTTTCAGCATTTTGAAGAAAGGTCCTCCTGGCATTTTACAAATGGGTAATCACTGTTGAAAAGCACAGACAGATTCACATTCAAACTTAATTTACTCAGTAAGATGGGGTGGCTCCTTGTATGTTTGCCCTGCAACATGTCGGTGTTGCATTTAGACACTGAAATACTCATGAAAAATCTGTGCCTAGTCACTAAAGGAAGGGAAATATATTATCTGTTACGGACTTGAGCCCATTCAGCTCAACAGGAGGTGAGAAAGGCTCATGCCCACAATACACATAACCATATCAGAGGTCACCTTTAAAATAAAGCATACAAAGAAAATTAAGGAAGTCAAGGAACCCTCAAACTCACTATGCATTCAAGGCTAGCTTTTATCTGCATTGGCAGGAACAGCATCAGTTTTGGTACATGGACATTTTACTGCTACTACTATATTTTGGTAAGCAACACTTCATCTGTGGTGCCTCCCTCATTTCAACACTGATTTGGAATACTCATATCCCAAGCTAGATTTTTGCTACAAAAAAAATCCGTAAACGGCAATCACTACCTGCTGTGTAAAAAACTTTAATTCCTCATCCTGAAGTTAAGAAGCCACCAAACACGGTGTGGAAGCTAGTAAACCCCACCATGGGCGTACTAACTGCTGTTCTGCCTGGCAACATGCCTCACAAAATGGAGAGAGGCACAAATGCCTCCGAGTGTAATCCTGGCATCAGAGGCACAGAGTTTACACTGGGCCAGCTCTCCACTTCTCCCTCCCTTGCTCCATTATGGCATAATTAATTGTTCAATACATCCTTGCACATTTCTTTCTTGTCCTTTCCATACAGTATACCTTGAAACTCATTTGAGAGACTGTGCATTAGCTGCCCTGATGTACTTGAACTAGGGAAATCACAACAGTCAACCAAAATTTTTAGGTTATAACGTGGTAGCAAACTATAGGACTGAACACAGAAAATAACAAATGCTCAAGAAAAGAACTTTTGGTAATTCTTTAAATAAAGTACTTTAAGTACGACTTGAGAGGAAGGTCCTTTCCACTTTGGACAGAGCAATCATCTGAGTCTTCAAACACAGTGACCAGCAACCACTCACTCATATGGGGACAAATACATGTGAGGAAGGGAACACATGGGTGCAGGCAAACCGCTAACTAGATGGTTGCCTATTTACTGTGATCCAGCCTGAAAGTGCATACAAGAAAATTTAAATTATTGGCCCAGGGAGATGAAAAAAATGCTTTGGAGATACACAGAATACCTAGGACACATCCTGGAAGACATGGGGTAGGTCTATGAAACCTGTATACAAGCCTATGTACCTGAAAAGCTGTCGATTGTTTGCAACTTTGCAACTTTACTAGCTGACCTAATACAAGGTCTTGTTGCTACCTGTAAGCCCTGCCTTGCTGCATGTGGAGTCAGTTGCTTACAGTTCAGCTAAAGGATTGCTTGGAATTTCCATGGCATCCCAGTAGCCACTGTGCTGTGGCTCTGGGGTAAAAGGAACTATTGTTTGCAGGTTTTGATGACTGGCCAATTCAATCAAGTATTCAGATGGACGCAATCATGCCCAGATTTTGGGCTTCTGTTTTATATTTCTCTAAATCTGTGTAACCCTTACTGCTGCCTGAGAAGCTGTCAGTGAAGGCTACCGTGCTGCAGAACTGGATGTTTCTGTTGTAAAGCACAAGCTGCAAATGCTGAAATCAGGCAGCCCACATGCAAAGTGAGAAGCTGTAAGCAAGTAACACCAGTCATCTATCATTCTGAACTGTCCAGTTAGTCACCTCCTTGTGGCATGCACAGCGTTAGCATTGATTACAAGCTATAAAGCTCTATATGGCAGAGATGCAATTACATTGGATATTTCTTGTCTGCCTCTCTTAACCGCCCCACCATGCCTGCAGTTGTATCTTCTAGAGCTAATCAGAGGGCAATCTGAAAGACAGGGCACAACTTGCTCCTGATGCGTCAAAGCAACCTCCAGGACACAGTGTAAAACTGAAGAAGTGCAGTAACAGGGTGTGAATGTCCTTTGAGATGAGAAGCAGGATTTTGCAACTGTTTTTTAGGAATGTCATGTGTCTGTATGACTAGTAATTGGTGCTAATGTTATTTCTAAAATCTGGAGAGAGCAACTTGAGAACTATCAATCAGCTATGATCTCTGACAAGATGTAGAGAACAGGTGAAGTTCCACAGAACAAGAAAAAGACAAGTGTAGCTCTTGCATTTTAAACAAACAGGAAGAAGGTCCACCAAGGAAATGGTGGACCATCCAACTCAACTTTGACAGTTTAGCAGTTCTAGAGCACAGAGTCAATCAGATGAACACCTAGAAGATGACAAGGTGACAAACAAGAGGCAACACTGATCAATCCAGAATACACCATGTCAAACTGACGTAATTTCTTCTTATGGGCTATTCTCATGACTTAGCAAGAGAAGTATGATCTTGGAAGAGCTCAAGAGCGGACACACAAATGGCTGGAAAGCACAGTTTACTGATGGTGCACTGTCAAACAGGATGGCAGCTGGGATCTTGCATGGAGTCTGTTCTAGATGTGTCATTATTGAGCATTTTCATTAATGACAAAGAATGGAACAGGGAGTGCATTTATTACCTGGCCAATGATACTAAAGCTGGGAGAAGCTACAGGCACTTTGGAGAACAAGATTAAACTCATAATGCTCCTGACAAAATGGAGAAATACCAAACAATAAATAGAATCTAATTCAATAGACAAGCGCCAAGTTCACCACTGAGAAACAACATAAGCATGCAAGATGAGGAATAATGGCTAAGTAAAACTTCCACAGAAAGGGTAATTAATTTTATAACAGTATTACACCACTGTTAAAAAAAAAAAGCACACGTTCTACTGGAAAGCATAAAATGGAGTGTCCTCCATACGGTATGCAAAGCAATGCTTCCCACACCACCAAACTCTGGTGATGCCTCAGCAGAAATAAGACACCCAGCTGATTACACCATCCTCCAAGAATGGAGTCGAGTAACTGGGGAGGGTCTAAACAGAGAAAACCAAGAATGACAAGAGAACACAGGATTATGGTTGGTTAGTGCATCCAAAATGTAGGAAACATGATCATCTTCCAACATGGAAAAGATTACTACAAAAAGGAGAACGAGAAACTGTCCTATGTGTGTGTGTAGGATAAATACTACACCAAACTGTAGCTAGGAAGATAGCCTAGATTTCAGGAAAATCTTTCTAACACTAAAGTTAGTGAAACAGGCAAGGCCTCGGGAATTTCCACCAGCGAAGGTTTTTAACAACAAGTTAGACAAACATCTGGAATGACTTAAGAGAAACCTGGCTCTGCCTTTGGGAAACAAGAGGGACTAAATAACATCTCAAGGTCCTCTTTAGACTTACTGTGACCTCAACAATACAGAGCAGAAATAGAAGTCCTAGGGAGAACAACGCACTAAAAGGAATGCAAAAGTTACCACTGCCATGCTTGTGTTTATTTTACACTCTTTGTAAACACTACACTATTGGAAGCAGATCAAAATAGTATTTATTTTTAAAGGATGTTTTATAATCCTGATTTACTCGCCTTTACTTCCTGAGACAAACAGTGTAAGAAAATTAACCATAAAACAGGAGTCTTTGTTTGCAACTCTGTATCTTTTTCTTTTTAATAGCAACCAAAATGCCTGAGCTGTCACTTTTATCTTGTTTATGAAATATTCATACCCAGCTTCCTTTCTGCCAACATCCTAGGGACACCCTTGGAAAAGAAAATTATGTATTAAAGGATGTACCCCTGAGAGGGAAAGTTCTAATGAAATGTTAACAGAGCAGCTTCAAACTTGAGTGAGACCCACATTGTAGTAAGGCTATTCCAGATGATTATTAACTAATCTATCTGCATTTCTAAAGTCCCCTATTCTCCGTGGTACCTACCCTCAGCTTCCAGTTTGAAAATTAAACAGATATCTAATAGCGAAAATCTGCTGAGGAAAACAAACAGACGTATCAGGAAACAACTAATTCATAGCACATGCTGCCCCACTGCCACCCCTAAAAAAGCTTTTCTGCTCTGAACTGCTGACTAGTTTAGTGTTCCCCTGGGGTGTACACAGCTTCTTAATTTGAACTGAATGACAGCTGGGCGTAAAAATCTGTCTGTGTATCTCACTTGTCACAGTGGGATAAAAGCATGATCAGATGAGGAAGGTGAGGAAAAAGCCCCCACATTGCCTAGCTAGCCAAATTTGCCTGAACCCCCCAACCCCCAAATTTTGATTTAAGCAACTGTCAGGTTTGGAACCAACATGATGTTTCAGGGTGCTAAATAACCCTCTTCAAACATGGTTTGAAACACACAGCACCTACTGTCCTGAATGGGGGCAAAAGAGGTGAAAATGCAGTTCCCTCACCATCCTCTCCTCTCTGACAACCCCCTCCACAGGGAGTCTGTCCTGACCATTCTCTCGATGAGCTTCTTCCACAGCATGCCGTCCGATGTCACCCGGTACCACTCCTTGCACACCAGCTCAGCAGCACACAACGATTTGGCATCCAGGTATGACAGAATGTTCTCAGCAATGTGATCCAATCCCCGAGCTGGGGGAGAGAAAAAAAAAATTAAAAAAAAAAATTATTTGCTGTGGAGACATGGAGTTTAAAACAACTCCCCTTGCTAGTACAAAGATACCCTCTCTTTCCATCTCCTCCTCTGCATGCAGAGCTGGACCAAATGCACAGAAGTGCATTTGTGGCTAAGTTCAGGAGTGAACAGCGTTCTCCAACTTCCTTTGGATATAACACAACAAGTCATTAAAAATAATAAAGAATCCAAGAAGTCATTCCAATCTATTTCGATGGGTTTTAGCACTAGGGGGATATTCTATGGATGGCATTTCCAACTCAGCAACGCAGCCCCCAAAATCTCTCTATATTAGGACCATTTCTCATCTCACTGCTACAGCTGTTCTCATGTTCCAACGGCTCAAAAGCTGTTTTTGCTAAAGCAGTAGCTTTTAAACGTAATGAAGAAAAAAATATATATTCCCAATGTGTGCCCTGAAGGGTAGTGGTACCTTTAGACATGGGGGAGGGAAAGATATGCAGATGCACAGGGAAGTCGAGAGGGAAGGAGAGGCTGTGTAAGGAGAAAGTGAAGCAGGTTTGCTAGTTTCATTTATTTTAGTGGGTGGAGGAAAAATATGCACCAAAATGGTATAATTTGCAAATATTTTCCAGTGTGAATACCAGGACCGGCTTTGTTTCAAAATGGCTGGAGTAAAATGTAAAGCAATTGCCTGGTTAGCACTAAGCAGCCCCACATAATATCTGCGTAGCTGGGGGTCAGGGAAGGTTATGCTACGTTTCTTAGCTGGATGGATATACTCAGTAAAAATGTGCCCTTACCCGCTCAAATTGCATCACCAGTAAGACTTCAGGAAAATAAGATGCCTTTTAAATGAGATGCTGCATAAATACAGCTTCTCTTGCAGGCTGTTTAATTCACAAGTGAGACACACCATCAAGAGATTATCTCACTTCACAGGTCAAATTTCAGAGGCTTCGTGAAAGTTGTAGTTTAGACCCCATCACCCCTCAGGCATAATGTTCAGACCAACCAAAAAGGAAGTATGGCAGATTGGTATTACATGCATCTTCCCTCTGGTTCACATTTGGGACAGAGTTAAATACATCTTTTCTTGCTTTAAAAAAAACAGCCTCAAAGACAGAGAAAGCAAGTGCATTTTTACAGTCACATGTCTGTAAGTCTGCAAACCCAAACTGGGTGCAATCAGCTGATTCTGATTAGAGTTCATGAGACACAAAAGGCCCAACCTTTGTTTTCGTTAACCGAAAGATCTCAAAATTATCTCCCAATACATGAAGATGAGAATATTCAGCATGCCTCCTCTTGCTCCTTTCAAACATTTTAAATTTATAATACACTTTGGGTGAGACATTCTGCCCAGCATTTTATGCTTCCATTCATATGTAGAAAAAGCACGTGAATGATACCATGCACAGCTAGAGAGTGCAGAAAGAGGTCTGACATTTCTTATCTTTATAGATGCAAAATTAGATGTCAACCTGCAAAATAAAAGCATCAGCAGCCTTTATTATGTATTTAATCTGAAAAGATATATACAGCCACTATATAAAATTCTTTAAAGAAAGAAAAAAAAGAGCGTTTGTAAATTTAGATTGACTCTACAGCAATTTGTGGAAAGAGAGATACAACGTTTTAGTAAATGTGAACTGGAATTTGCAGGAATTCTGCAATTCGGTAGGGCAGACATGGACATCATGTCCCCCTGCTTCCCCACCCTGACACCTGCAGTCCTGAGCTCTCTCCACTGGGTGGAAATGGCATATTTGCCTTCCCACTCTGTGTTGCTTCCAATGGACCCACAGACATTTACAGACCCACCAGGACATTTACAAATGCCTGCCTGTGTAGTATCCATATCAGTGGCTTTACGTCAGCAGCATCACAGCAAGAAACTATTTTATATGGGGAACAATTGGTGGTTTTAGGAAGCAGGGCTATACTGCATAAACTGGACACAGTAATCTTCACTCACAAGTCTGCCTCTGACCCACCTGCCCTTTCTGGATCATCAGTACTTGCACTTTAGCTCTTGCTGCACTGAGGTGTTGTAACTACTTCCATGACCGTAAGTCATCCTTTGCCATTGATCCTAGACCCTCTGCAGAGAAAGAATACTGTTTTGGCTTCTCCTCCTCATATTTATGATAAGTGGATGGACAGAGCTATTTTGTCCTGGCTGCAAACTCAAATTTATTATTTTGTTTCTTAGGAACAGCACAACTCACTGAGACACGTATCTAACAAAGCATCACTTCCTTAAAAAAGAGAAATCTCTCCTCACAAAAGTTTTTGCTAAATTGATGTGAAACATGATTAGCCCTTCAGCCCTCCATACCAACAAGAATGTTTCAGTTATTTCACACTTGAAACCCTTATAAAAATGACTCTCCTCATAAAAAATGTTAAACAGCTTGGAAATGCTAAGCAGAGACCTTATTTTTTCAGAAACAGAACAAAGTTTGTTAAGTACACAGTTAAGCTGTATTTTTCAAACAAACTTAATTCTGTTCAAAGTACTGGGAAAATAATCTGAGCCAATTTTATTCTATATTAGTAAAAACGTGCTCATGATCTAAAACTACCTTTAATTCTGGTCATTCTTTGGGACAGTGCTAGGAGGACAGTGATAAGATGCCTCATGATTTTGAAGTAGCTTTATTGTTTTATTCACTCGAGGGGGAGAGCAGGAGAGAGAATGAAGGAGTAAAAATGAAACCAGAATACTGAACACCTGAGAATTTCAGAAAGCTAAAAAATACTTAAAAGAGTTTAGGGTTTTTTATTATGTGACTTAATTTAAAATTTTAGGTTTATCACGCTTTCCTAGGCAGTTTCTTACCTTCCCCTTTCCCATTCCCCTCATTAGAAACCTGCCTATACTCAGGACATCCTGCACAGACTGCAGAGTCTGTGCCAGTATAATTCCTTGCTGTTAATTTTCTCCCTTAGAGCTATATTCACTAGGACATTAGCACTTTGCAAATATGCAAATTGATGCACATACATTATTTAAGCACAGTTCCCACAACTATTCAAATACTCACATATTTGCTGCCTGATTCCTATCTGTTCTGCATTCTGAGATAGTAAAATTAGCTGCTTCCTGGGTAACTGTGAAAAGACCACTAACAAATATGGTATGGCTAGGAAATTTTGAATGCCTCTGAAAATATTTGTAACATTTGCCAAAAATTTTTAGAAAAAGGCCTGTAGGATGAAATTAAGCAAGTGCAGATGAGATGCGTTGGCTTGCTTTGATGGAGTTTTGTGGAGAAAGACCTGGAAAAATTGTGTACGTAACTATATGTATACTTCCACTTTAAGAGTGGAGAAACCAATGCGCTTTCAAAATAGTATTTTTCTGAAACAGAACAGTTCCACAAGTTATAATGCTGCTCTAAGTACATAAGATTATTGCCATTGGACTACTAAAAACTAACATAAAGCAGGTACTTAGCATAACTAAGATTTTTTTTTTAATGCTACAACAGCCATTTGATTACTGGGCACAATGAGCTTAAAAATCCAGTAAGTCTGTGTATTTAACTTCATAGCAAAACTCCTGCAGTGCCTTTATGCTTTGTACAATTCACAGTTAAACATGCTTTTTTCATCTTTGAACCCTAGAACTTAGATTTCATGTTGAGAAATTCCTTCTGAAGAATGATCAAATGACTGGATTGAACAAATTGTTGGAGTTCAGCAGTTCTCCAAAGGTATTCACAGAACAAAGTTTTGGCAAGAAACTCCTCTCTTCAACTAGCTATTTAGAGACAATACCTGTAGCACTTCTCGCTCAGGTCGATCTCAGACTAAGGACCCATGCCACGGGAATGATAATCTATTAACTATCTATCTACCTATCTTATCTACAGAGGTATGATCTAATGGTCTGGAAAAAAACACCAAAGAGCCAGGAATTTCTGTCTGGTTCTGAAACTCTATTGCTGTATATATTTTATCTTCCACTGCCTCAGTTTTCCCATCTGTAACACAGGGCTAATACAAAACTACTTTATGTGTGCATTCTGTGAGATCATCCAGTGCCACATCTGAGAACAGCTAGGATAATATTCTCAATGGAAAGCATTACAGAGGTGCAAAAAAATAGAACATTTCCATCCTTTGATCTTACGTCCTCCATGCTCTATTAGCAATAAACACATAATCAAAGCGATGGCTTCAGGAAGGTATTTTACTAGGAGAGACAAAAAAATCTAAGTAAGAAAAGGGAAAAACTCAGCTGAGCAACCAGTAAGAGTAGTAGTTTTAATTTTAAAAAATTTTGTTATGCGTGCATTGTTGTGGGCATTAGGAGTACAACTACCTACCCCGTGGCTTGCAATGACTATCCTTACAATACATATATGAGCTATCATTTACTCCTAGCCAAACCATGCTGGTATTAGATCATGCCTTGAGACAAGGTAGAAATACAAAATAAAATATATTTTATACCAGTATAGAGCTTTACATTCAAAAGCTATCATCTATTTTGCAAACTGACCCTAGAAGAGACCTCTCCAGCAGGGTAGGCCAGAGTTTTCCGAAAGACAAGATGGAGGAGTAAGCTCCCTCCGCCTGCAGAAATACCTGGCAGTGCAGTGATGAAGTCTCGCTGTAACATAGGTTTGAGGTATGAGTTTATATGTCCGTGCTGGTAGTGACACATCTGGGAGATGAGGTGCTCCACAAACTCCACCTGGTCAGACTCAGACCACTGTTCAAAATACTTGACGCAGAGTTCCTTCTCCTTCTCATAGCTTGCAGACAGTTTTCTTTGCTTGGGCACAATCATACTGGAAGTGCCATTGGCAAGTTTTGTCTGTAAACAGGAAGGAGAAACAACCCAAATCACACATATGAAAACAAGCTCAAGTGGTTTTAAGGGGGAAGAAAATACAAGGAAAAATGCACTCTGATACATAAAGTTGGCTGAGACCATGTATCCCATTTGGTGCTGTCAGTCGGAGCACAGCCATCGCGACCTGTAACCCCTGCAGGACAATGCACTGGCTCATGCCAGAGCTGCACACAAAGGACTCTTGTTAGACAGGAAACCTTGAGTGGCAATTTAACATAAACACAGTTTTATTTACATCGTGCAGACAGTAAAATGCATTTGGATTCCTGATCTACAGTTACCAGTTACTTCAATGCACCAACAGAAAACTGCATTTGTGTTCTGTTTTGTTCCTAAAGAAGACTGTTGCTAAAATTCATAGGGAGTGCATGAAACAGATGAGAAAAAAATTGATAGTACTTCTTTTGAGTATAAAATTATACCTTGAGAGCAAAGCCAGCTAAAACACACCCTGATATTTGGTACATACTTCTTTCATAGAATAAAAGATTTTCAACTTTCTAAGCACTGTTAATATCTTGTCAGAAGGACTCAGCTCAAATAAGAGTTTCAAGGACAAAACAGAGCACTGACATTTCAATTTACTACTTGATAGCAAGATATAATTTCTGCTTCCTAAACGATTTAACTGGAAGAAAAGTGCACATTTTGCATTGCAAGGATATCCTTTGTCCCAGTAAGATTAACTGTTTGCTGGGAAATTATTTTTTCCCATACTGGTCAAACATTTTGTATTAAATGCTGAAAACATGTAATTTTCTCTCTTTCATTGCAATGGTTTAACACCAGACAGCATTATAATAAAAGTCAATATTATTACATCATTTTTATTTACAAAACACATTTAGAGGTTCTCTATTAATTATCAAATAATTAAAAACAATTACAGATATCAGAATATATAAAACATTGATGTAGGGATGCCATATTTCTGTTCTATGATGGTAATTCCAGGCATCAACCTCACCAGGAGACTATATTAACTTTAAGGGAAAAAACGAGTATCTAAATCTCTCTGCAAAGGTATCTAATGATCTAAAAGAAATGCATGGATTAACTGATTTTACAGGAAAAGAAAGAACAACTAAAAAGCTTTTTTCCAGCAAGTGCCAAAACAGTGGGTTATTTAGGGACCACAAAATCTAGTTACCGAAACTGGGTTTGGAATGCAGGAATTTCTCATTTCTCAGGAGTAAATAATTCCTGTACTTCAGTACCCTCCCAACCTCCACAGCAATCCTGACTTTGGAACACCAAAAACCTCGTAATTTGAAAATCTACTCAACTGATCACCACGTGCATTTCATTTTCTAGAGAAAATCCACCTAAATACTCTTTTCAGCATGTCCAGCAGAGCTGGACAGACTTTCCTCTGGTAGAAAAAGACAGTAATTCGCTGTCATTTTTAACACGCAGTTTCTTCTATTTCTGAATTACGGTTTGACTTAAATTTGAGAACACAGAACATGAAGATCACACCATCAGTGCTCAATTCTGCAGTTCAATGTTTTCAACTTTACTTTTACTCCTGCTCCTCCCTGCAAATTTCTGCGTGTGTTCAGTAAGATCATGCAAGACAAGGGCTACGACTGACCTACACTTTCATTTAGTCATCACATGGACAGCACTGACTGCAAGCAAGTCACAGAGCCAGCACTGGGCAGCAGGAAAGAAATACTGTCTCTTGGGCCAACTTTTTATATAGAGAAATCTCTAAAGGACTGCAGGCATGAAGTCCTAGGTGTGAAAGACTGGACTTTTCCTAGCAAAGTTCACAGTAGGCAACAGCCTGGCAAAAAATGATTACCAATGGACTGCACTGAACATCAGTCTTAAGCGATTCTGGTCATTTTTGCTGTAGTTAAGCTGCCTGCAAAACAGACATCCCTGTAAAAATGCTGGATTAAGACAGCGGAGAGATGTTGCATTCTACAAGCTTGATCTCATTTCATTTCTCATTTTGTTTGCTGTGCATCTCATAACAGGCTGTCTCTACAAAGCATTTTTTAAAAACTATACCTCTGCCTTTTAATTTGAGAGACTGTGAAGTCTGACTAATATGCTGAGCTGCAGCAGAGTAGACAGCTGATGTGCAAAGACCATAAAGGGGGCAACTCCTTTCACGGGGTGGCACCATGTTCTGGGCTTTCCTTGCCTCCTGAGCACCTTTGTCACAGCAGCCTTCAGTTCCCCAATTACCTCTAAAACATCAGTTTGGGGTATCGAACAGAAGTTGCAACATCTGCAAAAACAAGTAATGGCTTATGTATGTACAAACAGATGGCTTAGATAGGACAAACCAACCCATTCTGCCTAGATCCCAAGTGAATACAGGCTTCTTGGGTGGGAATAATGAGTAAATTAAAGAGTCCGTTGACCAACACTTCTAACAGCTCTGGAAGTCAAACTCCAGGTTTATGTAGTGGTTCTGCTAAGAAAAGCACTATATGTGTTATGGTGTTTATGTCCAAATTAGTGGACAGGGGAACACCGTATTTTTTTGGTTCATGCATGGACTTCAGCCACATTCTGACAATGTCAACTTGAGACCTGGTTTGCACCCTTGCCTGCTCTGGTTTCCCATCAAAAGAAGCAAGGACATGCCCAGAGGTAGCTATGGTGTGCCCAGCAGGTCCTGTAGTCTATGCAAGCATGGGACCAGGAGGACAGGGCAAGCCACGAACACACCAGTTCTGCAGAGTAGAGACAGATGAACTCAGGGGTTCCCAAATCACTCGATCACAATACATGCTCACATGCCTCCCTCAGACTGCCTGTAGCTACAGTTTAGAACGAAATTCCAGAATTTCAATTTGAAGATTCCTAAAAAATCACTGGGGATTCAGTGAAAAAGGCCTGTTATTAAAAAAAACCACCAACAAAACAACAACATCAAGCATCTGTGCTGTTAAAGTGTTGGGTGGGAGGGTGGTTACTACCAGTAAGAGAATGGATCTGGCTTCCTGAGCAACCCTGATGACTCAACCATTCTGATCAGCTGCCTCAAGTTCATGACAAACCACCTCAGAACAATAACAGCAACTATTTCCTGGAGCACACAATTGTCTACAGCCTCTTCCCTCTCCTGGTACAATAACCAGGCCTCACCTGAAAAAGAAAGAGCTGTCCCACATGCCATCCATACTACTAGGGTAAATATCCATCCAAATGCACTGTATATGGTCATGCTTTTTATAAGCTTCACTTCCAAAAGTGGCAAAGAAGAATAAGCACTGGTAATCCATCACCTGGGAGGAAGTTTGGGTATAAAAGCAAACTACTAACTCGGAACAGATAAAGCTTTTCCGACTCCCTTTTCACAAACCCCTGTAAGTGAGGGCTGAGAGGTGTCCCAGATGGGTCTAGGCACAACTCATCTGCAGGAACAGTAGAGACGTCCTCCTGCAACAGTGTGTCTGAGCTAGTAAGCTGCACCAGGAAACCCAGGGGATTGAGTGCCTCAGGTTGGTACTAGCTCAGGGATCTACGTACTATGCTCCATTGCAGCCCATAATTACAAGACCATTTCTCCAAATGGCTACATTTAACACAAAGCACATTTGTATGCCCAGTGAAGTAGAAGAGGACTAATATATGAAAGGACTTTAATCTAAATAATGGCTTGCAACTATAGGAAGGTGCAATATTTCAACACAGATAAATAAAGCCTAGATAAATCTACTGCTCTGCATATAAAACAAAACAGCCGTGGTATATCACAGCTGTAACCCATATATGACAACCAAGGTTACTTTTGGTTTTGTTCAGTACAGGGGACCAAGGAGCCTTCAAAAGCACAGAAAAAACAAACACAAGCAGAGTTCTCTGATTCCATTCTGATAGTGTTTCCCCACTCATATGAGTGGTCACAGCTTTTATATATTTAAAAAAACCCCTCACCGTGTCCTCTAATCGTTGCTGAGGATATTGTTAAGGCACTTTCCACAAGGTGGATGAATTCAGATTATGTTTCCTAAGGTAAGAAGACATCTCTTAAAGTCAAATAAAAAGAGAAGCTGTCTCCTAGAATATCGAGAATGGCTTAAATGATCCCAGCAAGGTTTGGGACCTTCTGAACCTGCACAACATCTTCATGCTGGAGCTCTGAAAGACTAAGAGCTTAGACCACCACCGCAAATTTCTCAGAGTTTCTCTAGACAAAAGGAAGAGACTTCCCTTCGATGTTCCAGTACCAACAGGTCATACTGGGCTTCTCCCCTCCTTCCTGGACTCCCTGGGACTCCAGGCTCTGACAGTGAGAGATGTCTTCTACTGCTTATCTGCAACTGCAGCATTTCACCTCAAACTGCTTGCACCACCAGTTGCGGTTAAGTCACTGATCTAGACAGAGCCACCTTAACAGGAATTTTGGATGGGTCTTAGTGAAGGGGAGGAAAAAAGAGGACATAATGTTTAATTATAAGAAATGATTGAAATAGGCACAGACATACCCCGGGTGCCTCTGCACTGCAGCAAGCTCTAAACTTGTTATCGTTAATGGTTTAAATTTCACTGTGCTAATCATTTCAGGACACAAGCCTTTCTTGATAATCTAATGAATTATTCCAACATCCTTCAGCAAAAAAAATCCTCCATGACAGCACTAATTACAAGACGTTTTCCCAGTGCTTATGTAAAATATGACAGAGCAGCAGCTTAGGGAATTGCAGAAAACTGCTTCTAATTTCCACCGAGAAACTGACAAACACCTCTCTTTCATCTCTCCCAGCTCTCAAGTAAGATTTAACTTTCTCATTTAGTTAATTACCGAGTGAGGATCATCATTTTCCCGGATCGGAGCGGCACAGAGCCTTTATCGTGTTAACTTGTGAACTTGATCGATGGCTGCTGCTAAAACTTAATAACTTCACCCCCTGGCAAATTGTAAGATAAATATAATAGGAGAAACTCTGACAGTAAAAACCTGCCAGAAATGAGCGCTGTGTTTATGTTTCTTCGCA